TTTTTCCAGATATCGTGAATTCATTTTTTGCTTCAAAATTTTGATATTCTGTCAATGCACTCTGCTTCTCATGCTTTTAGATTTAGACTAGTAACCAAATCAAACACAAATCCCGAGCACAATAGAAGTCCTAATATCAATAGAAATCAACAATCAAAATGAATCCTAGTTTAAATGGAAATGAAATGAGACTGTAATAAATCAAGTATAACCGTCCTACATCAATATGATGGATGTGTTATTTTAGAGTGGAGATTCAGTATGGAGTGTATAACCATCCTAGTTTAAATTTAATAAATGAGACTGTAATAAATCAAGTATAACCATCTGCTTTTTTTCTTTTTGGTTATTTTTTTTCTTTTTCTTAGATCTCTTCTATGCTTTTGTTTTTTGCATTTGTAACTTGATCATTTTCCCCCTGCTATTTTCTGTCTAGAAGCTGTCCTTTGGTTTCCTTTTGTTTGTGTGGTTTTTGTGCTACTACCTTCATGTTCTTTTCAGCATATAAATGATTATCTGATGCTTCAAGGTTGCTACTTTAAATCTCTTTCTACCTGCATACTCCATGAACCTAGACATTAAATGTACAGTCTTTGCAGCATTGAATTTTTTCTTTTTGAATATTCCTTCTGTTCTATTCTTTTTGGATTTTCTTGGTTAGCGTATTGTTAGTTGGAATTATTTTACGTGAACAAATACATTACATGTGCATGAAAATTATTCACCTTTCTAGGTTTTCTATCTCCATTCCTCTTGCCTGCATGCAGTTGTCTTGTCTTTGGCAGTGATATTATAGTATCACACATATTGCAGCAGTATCGAGCTTTGATATATCCTGCAACAGTTAATCATTGGTATTTGGTATGTGCTTATTTTGTTTGATGCAGAAGACAGGTCTTTTGGATATCAAAGCAAATATTGCAGCTGGTAATGGAAGATGCTATTGACGACTGGCTTTTGAGACAAATTTATTGGCTTCGAAGGGAAGACATTATTGCTCAAGGAATTTGGTGGATTCAAGATGTAAGGACTGAACTAATTATAGAGAATCATAGCTCTACTTGTAGATTTCATGTTTTGTTTCATTTTTCTAATTATAGATTCCTTTCAGGCTCTCTGGCCGGGTGGCACATTTTTTACAAGAGTGGGGAATATTCAAAGCAAACTTGATGATGCTCAAGCAGACCTGAACTTTTTTCAGGGTGGAAATCAGTCTGGTGGCCATAGGGCCTCAAAGTCAGTGTCCTTTGAGGAACAACTTGAAGCTGCTCGGAGAGCAAGTGATGTCAAGAAAATGCTCTTAGGTAAGTTATTCTTCTCTATAAAGACCTACATTTATTCATGGTCACTTATTTTGTACTTCTACCTCGATTGTCAGCCTGTGGTATTTTTTGCAAATTTCATTTCTTCAAGATTGCTTTTCTGGTCTACCAGTACATCTTTTGTTTCTTTTAACTTGTTTCAGAGTTACTATTTGCTTATTTGACTATGCAATATTGGATACTGTTTTGTTTTTGAATTCATGCCTTAGGCTTAAGTAGTCTGGACTTTTACCTCACATCACCAAGCAAAATTTCTGTTTCCAGATCGATCAAGAACCTCTTTGCTCACCCGATGAAGAGAAACTAATTCTTCAAATTTTGAATTCTCATCGACAATTTTGGTATAGTTATCATAAGTTATTTGTCAAACCATGATCTTTGGCAGAAATTGAACATGGATACCAGCACAAGCAAAGTTAATAGAACTGAGATTTAGAAGTGGTCTGAAATTCTGTGTCATGAAAATATCCCCATGTAATCATACTGAGAGCACAATTTCTGCATAAATTTGGGAACCTTGCACTCTGTTCTTATTTCCTTTCTTTGACTTATCATGATTTCTCTATTGTTGTGAAGATTTGCGGGTCCCTGTGCCACCAGGAAACTACTTGACTAATTTTTTCTACTAACCACTTGACTAGCCTGTAACTCAACAATTTTCTCCCTTTTGTCAGAGGGAGCTCCAACTACCTTGGTCAGCTTGATTGGGCCTAAGCAGTACAAGCGGTGTGCCAAGGACATATATTATTTTACTCAGGTTAGTCCCCTTACTCGATTGTGCCATGTGCTGCAGCACTTGTTTTTTCTCTCTTTTTTCCTGTGCTTATAAATTGTCTTTCTGCCCTTTGATGGTCTAATTTGAAATAACCTCTATAATTTATGATTACTGCAGTCTTCTGTATGTGTGAAGCAACTTGCATACGGGATACTTGAACTCATAATCCTATCAGTATTCCCCGAGTTGCGGGATCTTATACTAAATCTTCATGAGAAGATGCGTGTTCCGCCTGCATAGTAAGGCCTTAACTTTCACTCACTCGGCATGATCTGGTCACTATGCGCCATGAGTATTTTCAATGATAGTGCATGTGAATATCATAATATAGACAAGTGAGAATCAGGACTGGTTAGATACATGGAAATTTTTAGGACTCTGGAAATAGCTTGGCATCTCCCATTCAATTGTACACAATTGTACATTAGAGCCTGTATAGAAATTAAAAAGATAAAAAAAAAAAAATGCTCGTTTGTGAATACTTTCAGATCACTCAAGCAAATACCCCATTAGAGGGGATTTTTGTATCATGCATAGTCTACAAATACTGATGAGACTATCAATGATATTCTTTCATTATCATTCATCATCAACGTTCATTTTAACTATGTATTATCATAATTTAGTTGCAATTTTAAAACGAAAATCTCTATCGATGTTGATGAGTTAAACAATTTGAAAATATTTTAGATTCAGCCGATTGAATGAACAAAATGAAAGTGAAGAAACAATTATTTGCTCAGCTTTATCTCAGTATTTGAACTCATTCTTGTAATACTGTAAACTCCGCAATGAAATTGACAAAGGGAATGATCAAAGAGTAATACTGTGTCAATCTCTTTTCACAAACACTTCTCTTCTCACAAACTCTTCCACAATCCTGACGTGACAGTTTACGATTGATTAGCTCGTAAATGGGTTTTGCATGTTTGCTATGAGTCATGTCTGTCAATTTAGGAGCTGTCACGTTGCATGTTTGCTGAGTCATGTTTGTCAATTTAGGAGCTGTTATGTTGAGGTTGTGAGAAGTCATGTCTGTCAATTTAGGAGCTGTCACATTGAGGTTGTGAGAAGAGATTGTAAATTATTATCAAAACTAGCCCAGAATTACAGTAGCTATGGAGTTTTAATTCAGAAATCTATGAACTGTTGAGGAAGTACAGATATTGAACTCTAGTCTGCTTATATATATATAGGGAAACCAAAAAAACAAAAAAAACAAAAAGCTTTTCAGTTTGGCATGCCGGCCATGGCATCACGGACATTGGCATACAAATCAAACAAAGAAAATTTCCGAAGATTTTCCACTTCATACCATGAATTCAGCACTTCCCTGCTTTCATCGGTGCCCGAAAACGTCAACTGTATGCTGAGCTTGCAATCCGCCGATGCCTCCAGTTTTTTGCACTTGGTATTCGGCACTGCACACACCGTGTTGTTGAGGCAGACACCGGCATCTCCGCCGCACGAATCGCAGCCGAAGCTTTTCCAATGCAAGTTCTGCAGAGTACCCTCATGGAATTCCAGGACCTGCAGAAATCAATACAATACAATACAATACAATTATTTCCTGGAGGAGGAAATCAAGAAAAGAATTATTTACATTTTATGTTTGATGAGTTTTACCAATGTTAAAGTAGTAACTATGTTATCAATGTCGGAAATCATCTGTGGAACTGATCTTGCTGCATACTTTCTTCCGGCAAATGCCACCACGAACCCGCCTGCCAAATTCTGATAAGACAAAACATATTGTAATTGTAATATGCCCCGGTGAAATTTCATGTATTTCACTCAGATTGGAAACAAAGTGGAGTATGTATAACCAAGGGATTTGCTCCCCCTATGGTCTCAGGTTCGAATCACAAGAATAGTTATTAATATTGTTAGCTACGAAGTATAGGATTTGCCCTATTTCGGAAGTCCTATTCAGGGTCGAAAGATTAGTTAAGATGCGCGTAAACTGGCCCGAACATCCTTGGTAACAAAAAAAAAAAAAAAAAGTGGAGTATGTATGTATATATATATACCGGATTGAAGGTGGGGTTCTCGATGGTAAGGAGGGAAATCTCGTCGACTCTGGGCCGGAAAACGGCGAGTTGGGCAGGTTTAGTGACCAAGTTGAGACGACTATCGCAGGGTGAAAGTTGCGTTTGATCGAGAAAAAATGATTCTTTTGCTGAAAACGCTAGCCCCAATGTGAAGCCATCAAATCTCTTTACTTTTGCATCATCACAAGGACTGAAAACAACATTTTTATCTTCTGCATCTGCAAAATCCATCATCTCCGCCACCACCGCCGCCACCACCACCACCACCACCACCTTCAAATCTCTCAACATCATCTTCATCTTCTTCAGCCAAAGAACCAGCCCCTTAATTCGTTGAAAACCAACATTACCAAAAGGAACAAAAAACATATTAAGTCAAATAAAATAACGTTACCCCAGATGGAAATAGCTTTCAATGTTTCTCCATTGATGCTCTGAGAAGCTTTTGTCAAATCGGTTTAGTCAAGGATTCAATAAATTTTCAAGAAAATAATATTAATGGTTGATTTAGTGGTGATTAAATTAAAGTGAAATGGAAGATTTGTTGGTGAGTGTTATGATGAATTCTAGGAAATATCAAACAAGAACTGTTTCAGGGGAACAACCTAGGACTAATAAGACGCGGGAAACGGTTAAACCGGCAGTCTAGGTGGATCTTGTCTTATAAACGGTTAAGGATGTTGGTGGTAGGTATTGAGTATAAAAATAACAAGAAAAATGTTTCTGTTATTTCGGAAATACATTCATTATGGAATTGGTGTTAAAATTTTTATTATCCCATGAAGTGAAATTAAAATAAATAAAACAATTTTAAAAAAATAAAAATAGTTATTATGATACTTTCTTCTATTGTCGATTATTTTGAAATGCACTTTATGACGGCGTTTTTATGCTATTATAAGATTTTTTTTTTTTTTTTAAATGATGTGGGTTTTTAAGAATCTCAATAATAGTTTGTTAATCACAATATTATTCACTACTGATATGATGAGGAGCTTACGGGTCACACACTCAAAAGACAATTTGAAGAAAATAACGAATGAGGGGCATTTTTGTCATTTATAGATGAAGGGGTATTTTGGTAAATCTTATGGAGCAATTAAATTTGTTGAAAATGTTGTTGTCTGGATCCGAACCTGTATTGGATTTAATTTGTAAATTTGAATATTTATTTAAATATATATATTGTCGTATATGTATATTCTAAATAAGTGTATATATGTTTTAAATATTGAATAATTATTATTGGATGAATAAAATAATAATCACATAATATCCGGTTAATTAATTTCTTCCAAAATCATTCCGTTTGTTTTATTATTTTAGATAGGATTTTGGGAATAATATTGCGTAGTTGAATAAAGAAGTATTACGAGGTAAATTTAAAAATTTATAAAAAAATCCCCATAGGTTTGCTAATTTAACTAAACACCCCAATATATAAATTTTTTGTAAAATAATAAAAACACCCCCACTCACCCACAGTGCTAGATTTTGGCCACCACAGTCAGAATTTGGCTGGAATATGGTGCTATGATGCAAACCGGTCGGATCTGGTCGAAAAAGACTAGATCTACGGCTAGATCTGGCCTTTTTCGGCTAGGTCCACTGTGGATCTAGCCGAAAAAGGCCAGACCGGTGAATTACTGGCCATTTTCGATCGTTTGTAAGCCATTGTGATAGATTTCGGCTACCACCGATGGTGGTTGTAAGAATCTGATAGGTATGGGTGGATGGGGGTGTTTTTGTTAATTTTAAATTTTTTCTGAGGATATTTAACGAAATTAATAAACTTAAGGGGTTTAAAAGAATTAAAAAAATACACCAATATTTCTCAAATAACAAAACAAACAATATTTTGAGAATATAATTGGGAATATGGATAAAAATAGTGTGTCAAACGGAGTTATTTCTATCTATTTAATTGGATGAATATATCCTAAAAGGAGGAGACTAGGATTGGCCTATAAAGGGGCACTTTTCCCCGCATGTCCCATAACCCTTGAACTGCTACCCAAGCTAAAGGTTGAGAGAAAATTTTTCTCTAAAATTTTTCTTTTAACTCCTTTCTTCTTTAAACTACATAAATAATTGTTTGTGTGTGAAGTGTTGCCTTTTTGTGGATTTCTAATAGCAATAATGCTATGCTTACTCACGAGTTTACTAATCGCTTTACTACCTTTGTTAAAATTACATATAGTACCCGTACTATGCGCATGGTACCCGTACTATGCGTTATATTTACAAAAGATAATAAGATGGTTAGTAAGACATGTGAGTAAACATAGCATTACTCTTTCCATTAATTCACTTCTATCCTTAAAGTGGGAGCGTTTTCAACAATCAATTGAAGGAGCCATCGACGTGAGTGAGAAATCGAAACCTTGAATGGGTTTTATTGTTCTTAAACATGTAAACAACGTTAAATCCACTTCCTTATTTAACGCTACATCTTAAAAGAATGACTGAATGAGTTTGTTATGCTTACTCACGAGCTTATTAACTGTCTTATTACCTTTGTTAAAATTACATATGGTACTCGTACTATGTGTATGGCACCCGTACTATACGTTTACAAAGGATAGTGAGATGGTTATTAAGATCATGAGTAAGCATAGCATTACTCAAATCTTAAAGGAAATTGAAAATATTTACCAGGGAGATAAGAGAAAACTCTCAAACAACATACGGGTTTTTACGTGATCAGAGAAAACCTTAGGGGGGAGATTAAAATTTCCAAGCTGGTACCTGCAGGAATATTTCCAGTCTAAAGTAAAAAGGCTTTCTGCAGTTTCAGTTTTAAGCACATTAAGAACTTGTGTTGATGAATCTGTGGCCGAGCCTGCAAAGAAAACTTACGCTTCCATAGTATGCACAGTTTCTTCTCATTTCCTTCATCCTCTTTGTGTGTGGAAATAAGTTTGCAGGTGTCTGTGCATGCATTTAGGCATTTGTTGATAAAATTTCCAAGCTGGTACCTGCAGGAATATTTCCAGACTAAAGTAAAAAAGCATTCTGCAGTTTCAGTTTTAAGCACATTGAGAACTTTTGTTGATGAATCGGTGGCCAAGCCTGCAAAGAAAGCTCGAAGGAAGAAAACACTGGCACTATGACAGACCAAAGGCCATGTTTCTACAAGATCATTTGTGACGAGGAACCAGAAACAATGGTGATTCATTTTGTCGTCTACTTATGGTGGTTATTTTTGAGCTAAATCCATGGCTAACATCTTTGTTTTCTTTTGTTCGAAAACAGAAGAAGTTTCCACAGCAATTCTTGAAGTATATATCAAAGGAATTATCTGATACAACAACTTTGAGAGTTGTCTCTGGTGGGTTGTGGACGGTTAAAGTGAAGATCATCGGAAACGATGTGTTTATGGAGGATGGTTGGCCGGAATTTGTCAGAGGTAACTCTTTTGAGTATCAAGGATTTTCTGTTTTCCCAGTATGATGGAAAAATGTTTTTCAGTGTCACGATTTTTGACCCTAATAAAGTGGAAAGAAGAATTGGAACATCTAGCATCAGAATGCCTCAAGAATCTGCAGGGATTTCAACTGGTAAAAGGCCTAGGAAGAACCCTGTTGATATTCTGAACCGCCAGTATACTTCATCAAACTCCTATGATGAAAGCTTGGGTATGTTATCAAAATGATGCTCAATGTAATTCAACATAAAGTTTATCAACTCAAAAAGTTTCCACAACAATTCTTGAATTACATATGAAAGGAGCTATCTGATACAACAACTTTCTCTGTATTTCCGTACTCTTCTCTTTTTTTTTTTTCTTTTTTTTTTTTTTTTTGGTCACTTCCTCCTCTCTTTTTCGTCTCTCTTTTCTTCCATTTCTTTGTTTCCCTCTTTCTTCTTCTCTCTTGAATTAAACTAAAAAAAAAAAAAATTCAGCAGATCAAAGTCATAAAAAAGATATCACAGCCACCGGAAACAAATTCGGCGGCTGCGATCTTTGCTTTGGAACAGAAAGAAGCTACCACGCTCTAGATCTGCCGCGACTCGGGGTGTTCACCTCGACCTGGGCTAGATCGTGGCGGTGCAAGGCCAGATCGCGGCGGATCGGGTGACATCACAAGGTAATCGTATTTTTCCGCCATGATGTGGCTGATTCCGGCAGCAACTTAATTTTTTTCTTCACTTCCTCCTCACATGGCAGCTAAGTTTCACTGGTTGTATTTACATTTCACTGTTGGGCTATGTTTATTTCGATTGGGATTTAAGAAGTAGCACCCCCCTCCCCCCTCTCACTCTTATTTTTCTTGCCTGTCACCCATCTCAAATTATTCTTTTTCCTGATAAATGAATTTACTTTTAGGTTCTTGAATGCAGCCCAACCTTCATCTCCAAATTATTTTGCCTCAGTTTTTGTATATATATCTTGATTACATGTTTGGTTCCCTAACCTAATATTGTCATACTTCATGCTCAATTCATTCTTCATCTGATGATTTGAGTTCAGTACAATTGATTGTTTTTATTTCCCATCACCCTCTTTGACCATTCCAGTTTTGTAGCAGAATTGATTTCCCAGTAAAATTTTTTTTTTTTTTGGAAAATTTTTGGTAAGTCTGTCATCAATTAGTGCATTATCACAGGTGTTGTTTGTTTAAAGGGGTTGCTCTTGAACAATTGGAATTGTCAGGTAAGGCAGATTTTGTGTTGTGGACAATTTTTTTTTTTTTTTTTTTTCTCCTGTTTTGTGAAGTGCTTCTTTATGTTCAATTATTCATCTTTCTATTTCTGTTGTAATGAGGTGTTTTTCTTTTTCAAGGGTTCCATTGAAGCCCATTTATTTAACCCAATAATACTATGCTTACTGACGAACTTATTAATCATCTTATTAACCTTTGTAAATATAAAGCATAGGACGGGTATCATAAACATAGTACGGGTACCATATATAATTTTAACAAAGGTGAATAAAGTGGTTAGTAAGTTCGTGGGTAAACATAGCGTTACTCTATTTAACCTTGGGGCACTTGGCTGCTTAGTTAAGCTAACCTTAAAGACTTTTTGTTACATGTTTTATTCCTTAAGACTGGTTTGTAGATATCACAACCAATTGAATTGGTTTTGTCCTTTCTTCTATTAACCTGTGGGTAAAATTGTAAAATATGAGTTATCCCAATTAAAAAACAATTTTATTCTGCCTCTTTCTTTATATATTCACTTTGAAATTTTGCTATCAAAATAGGGATAAATTGGTCATTTGCTGTCTCATTTTTCACAAACTCATAGGGACAAACCAGTGATTTCACTAACTCATCATAACTGGATGGCATAATCGTAATTCAACATAATGATGTGAGTATTTATGTAATGAGTAATGATATATAGTTCACCGAATTTATGCACCGAATTACGTGACAAAATCTTGACCGTTAATTAATATTAAGTTAAAATTAATCAATGGTCAGAATTTTACCACGTCATTCGGTGCATAAATTTGGTGCACTATCGTTGGTGATTATATTATTTTCTTCATGTAATTGAATGAGTTGATTAGTAATAAATTAATAAAAAACTAAGATATTAAACTTTCAAGGGTATTCCAGTCTTTTTTATTATTTTTAATGAAAATCCCTAATAGCACATGACAGAAGGTATCTGTTTGTCTTTTCAAAAACTTTTGAGCACTACCCGGCCTTTATAACAAAATTTGGGTAGGTGTAAGTCGTACCTCCTATTTTATTATAAGGTTGTAGAAATGTCTTGAATAAAAGATTATGCGAATCTTCATTTACTGCTTATATTCCCCTCACTTTCAGTGTAAATTACCAAACACTCCTTATGATTCGAAGATTATCACTAACCTCCCTGATAGTTTCGCTAACCTTCTCCGTTGAAGAGAGTTCTATTATGATTAAGCAAAATCTTAAAGGAAGTCGATAATATTTAGTTATTTACCAAGGGAGATGAGAGATAACTCTCAAACAACATACGGGTGTTTAGTCGCTGGGAGAAAACCTTAGGGGGGAGATTATAATAAAGTTTCTAAGCTGGTACCTGCAGGAATATTTCTAGTCTAAAGTCAAAAAGCATTCTGCAGTTTCAGTTTTAAGCACATTAAAAACTTGTGTTGATGAATCTGTGGCCGAGCCTGCAAAGAAACCTTACGCTTCATAGTATGCACAGTTTCTGCTCATTTCCTTTATCCTCTTTGTGTGTGGAAATGAGTTTTCAGGTGTCTCTGCATGCATTTAGGCATTTACCTCTGCATTTATCTTCCAATAGTTTGTACTAACACACTTCAAATAGTTTCAACTGCCTTCTTATTGAGTTTTAAACACTTTGTTCTCTCAGACTTTTATTGAGTTTGTACTTCACCATGCCCTCCAAATTCAAGCTCAATTCAAGCCCTCCCTCAAGAGGACGCCGGGAAATTCAAGGAAGCCCCTCCTTTCTCAGGAAAAGCTCGGAGAAAGAAAACACTGGCACTGTGACAGACCAAAGGCCATGTTTCTACAAGATCATTTGTGACGAGGAACCAGAACCAAAGGTGATTCATTTTGTCCTTCTTTTTGTCTACTTATGGTGGTTTTTTTTGAGCTAAATCCATGGCTAACATCTTTGTTTTCTTTTGTTCGCAAACAGAAGAAGTTTCCACGGCAATTCTTGAAGTACATATCAAAGGAGATATCTGATACAGCAACTTTGAGAGTTGTCTCTGGTGGGTTGTGGACGGTTAAAGTGAAGATCATTGGAAACGATGTGTTTATGGAGGATGGTTGGCCGGAATTTTTCAGAGGTAACTCTTTGAGGATCAAGGATTTTCTGTTTTTCCAGTATGATGGAAAAATGTTTTTCAGTGTCACGATTTTTTACCCAAATGGAGTGGAAAGAATTGGAACATCTAGCATCAGAATGCCTCAAGAATCTGCAGGGATTTCAACTGGTAAAAGGCCTAGGGGAAGGCCAAGGAAGAACCCTGTTGATACTCTGAACCGCCAGTATACTTCATCAAACTCCTATGATGAAAGCTTGTGTATGTTATCAAAATGATGCTCAGTGTAATTCAACATAAAGTTCATCAACTCAATTTTATTACTACCTGATTGAATATATCAAATATTTGTTTTTGTTTTTCTCAATGTAGCAACAGATCAAGGCCTTGCATCTCACAAATCCAAGAAGCTTAAAACGGCTCACAAAGGAGAGAATGTGAATGACAAATCCCAAAGTCTTAAAACCACACAGAAAGGGAAGAATGTGAACTACAATTCCAAAGAGCTTCAAACAAAAGAGAAAGAGAAAGGAAAGAATGTGAAGGCACCGTTCCGAGACAGAATTGAGAGTTCAAACAAGCAACCGAAGAGAACTACAATGGAACCAAGTCTGGAAAAGAAACCTTCCAAGAAAAGTCATCTCATCATCATAGACTAGTTCATTTTAAATGATGTTGTTTGTGCTTTCACTTGGTTGAACTTCAGAATGTCATGATTGGTAGTTACAACCTAATCTAATTAAATTATAATATGTAGATTATGGCAAGAAAGACAGGTCCTCTGCTTCTTCTGCTGTGGATTTTGGCAATATTGCTTTGATTTTAGATTCAAGTTTGAGGAACATCCACTTGAGGTATCATTTGCACTTGTTTACTGTTGTTACTTTAAGCTCCATTGATCCAAAGATTAGTAAGTAGAATGCAAGTGTAAGAGTTAATTAAGCCTTTTTGCAGTTTATATACTGCATTTTGCAGCAGTAAAACCCCTTTCACACTTTTATATGGATATAAATTTGCTTCATATGTATTCAACTGATAAATAGTTCAATCACTAAGGGGAGTGCATTAACATTTTTTTGGGTTTCTTGTTTGCTGCTTCAACAAAGTCCAATTGAGTTGTAGTACTGATACACAGATGGGTTCAAAATAATCCCCATTTTCCTCTTTAAAAGACAGAAGTTTAAGTATGACAGTTAGATCAGCTAATATACCAATGCACGTTATATATATAACATGATAATTTTCTAATCAAAGGTTTGGCCAAACAAAATTGTAATATACAAATACCATTAGATGGAATAAAAGAGAGTAGCCTTGTGAATGAAAAGTATTTGATTCCAATGTAATCTGAATCATACAAATTCCAGGCCTTTCCAGAGCCTTATGTATGAAAATCTATAAAATGAACTAATGAAGTCACAAACGAGTTTAACATTAATCAACACTATCTAAAGTGCAAGTCATTTGCTCTCTGAATCAAAGCCTCGAAGTCTTGAAAGTAGCCCGAGTTTCCGATAACCTTCCTTGATTGGTAAAACATAGTCTCACCTGTATGAACATCAGAAGAAAGATGACTAATGCACCAAAAAAAAAAAAAAAAAAATTGAATTCATAAAATCCTCAAAAACAATATTTCAGCCAATAGCAATACCAGAAGCACATTATCTAGCGGAAGGGCATTGGCATATACCACTCTCTAAAGGGATGGGCAATAAATACAAGGTAAAAGAATTTTACCCAATAAAATTAGAGATTATTTGCTTCAGAATGGTCACCGATTACTGAATCATTGTGTTGTGTTGGGTTGTTTTGTTTCTGATGCCTTTTGGGGCTTCCTATACCACAAAAATGCAAACCACAGAGTCCTCAACAGTACCCCATTGGCGAAGTGAGGAATAAATATGCGTCCCCAGTATGGATAATAAGGACCTGGCAATTTGAGCAAAGTGAAGAATATTGCAATGGCAATCAGATGCCAAGGAACTTCTGCATCCTGAAAATCAAGCCAAACAATTAGTTAAAACCAGGAATATATACATGGAGGCACACAAGTGCCTACACACACTAACGTATTTATAATTTTATATCCCTTTCTTTATTCTTCGAAGCATAGGCCCAAGAACTGTAGCACAAAAACAAAAATATTGCCTGCTCAAACAAATGGTATAGGATGTTGATTACCCATCCTCATATACTCAACTAATGTCTTAAATTTCTGAAATGATAAACTTGTAAAATATTTCAACCTTGAGAAGCGGAGATATTTCCAATGTGGTTTCTCTTAAGATGTCAGCAATAACCATGCCAATGAGCAGCGGAACAGGGACAAAAAACAACTTCTTTTCATGTGCACAATAGGACATCTCACTGAGACAGGAAACACCCAGCAAAGGTACAATCAAATATTTGACAACAGCCAAGAAAAGATCAAGAATGAGTTGAACAAAGTTCTGCAGTGCTCTGTTCCAGGGAAAGGACTTGACTGGCTGGGGACAACTGTCCCATAATTTTCTTGCCTTGATCATGATACTGCCTAAATTAAACCTCTCCGGATCACGTGACTGTCCGGAAGCCATATTTATCGCACAGCATATATTGGGCTTCGCATTCTGCACGACTCCATTTAGTTTTGCACTCAAACTTAAGTTATGGGCTTTAAAATATGGTGATACCTGCTACAACAAGAAAAGAAGTTTGTCAACAGATAAATGTAACAGAAATAAGTATTTGTTGAAGTAAAAAATGAAAAGCAACAATGTTTTTTGATTTCTAGACTACCAAAAATTCTTTTCACTGAAGCAGTCCTTCCATAAAACTTTCACTCCCAGTTTATCGATATCCTACAATTATATGACAATCCAGCAATAGTCCATTTCATCCACCCGGCTCTAATTCTAGCCCTAATGTTACCAAATTTGCATTCGATGTTATTCTTTCTTAGATTCTAATAAACCCAAATCTCCTAAACTCTACCTTATCCCTCCATCTTAACCAACATAAAACAATAGCAATGCAGGACAACCGGAAAATAGCAATTATCATTAGTACTTTATGTAAATGAAGTCACAGATTGAACAACAAAAAACTACCTTAGAAAAAGATATCATGTATAAAACCTCATTGACGCAATTCATCTCACTTAATTTGGAAAGCGAATGACAATTCTACGTTTAAATATCAGACATCTCTGCAATTAAGATAGTAAAACCACTATTCTGGATTTCAAAATATGTTCCAGAATCTAATTTTCCCATCAACAAAGAATAAAAAAAAAAAAAAAAAAAAAAACCCAGAAAACCTCAAACCCATGTGTTCACAAAATAAAAGAGAAAAAGCTGACCTTGAGCCCATGAAGAGCCATGAGAGAGGGGGTTTGGAGCTGAGTAGAAGATAACAAGTGAGAGTGATATGGGTTGGCTCTCATTTTGTTTATTCGTTATGTTATGCACCAAATTTGCAAAAGCAATTGAGAAAAGCCATACGAGGATAAGGAAGATCTTCAACAATGAACTACTTCGATGTTTCAGGAGAACGAAACGTTTCTGTTGAAGGGTTTAAGGGATTGAGCTTCAATCCGCTGCAGTCGCGCCACACGGTAAACGATTATGTGGCTACTTCTCGTAAAAATTGGATCTTGTTTATTTTCTCCTTGAACCATACTATACTTACTCACCATCTTACTAACCATCTTACTATCCTTTGTAAATATAACGCATAGTACTGGTATTATATGCATAGTATGGGTACCATGTAAAATTTTAACAAAGGTTGTATGGCTGTTAGTACAAGTGGTGAGTAAGCATAGTATTTTTCTTTCTCCTTTTTCTTTATAAAACACACATTAATTTTTTCTTTAATTTAATTATAGAGTAAACGGCTTTTTCCCACCCAAGGTTTGCCTCAACGTTTTCTCCACCTAAAAAGTTTTAAAATACCACTTTCCCACCGAAAATTAATATTATGTCACTATTCAAAGCCGATTCCGATAGTAAAAATTCTCTTCGTCACCACCATTTGAACATCTGGTCTCCTCTCTACAGAACCCCTCTCACTCTAGCACCTGACTTTTAACTGATTGCCAACCACCATAAAGCTAAAGTTTCTTATTCTTAACTGCTTTTCGGTTGATTCTAACGACAAATATTCAATCAGTTATCACCATTCAATCCACCGACTTCCACTCTACAAAATCACTCTTACCCTGGCTCTTGGCAATTCGCCGAATACTGACTGAGAAATTGAAATTTATTTTGGATATTAACGGTAGGGCTGTGCAAAATCGGATACCCGAACTGATTTTGCTCGAAAACCGAGTACCCCTAAAAGAGTACCCGCAAACCGAACCGCTTTTAAGGGTATCCAATTTTTCGGGTACCCTAATATTCGGGTAAAAAATCAGATACCCGGTTTATGACCCGAATTTGAATATTTTTGCATGAATTTTAATTTTTTACATTTCAAATTTCAATTTGTGAATACAATTTCTTCCATATACTAAATCAACTTTTAATTTAATAACTTAAATACTTAAGATTTGGGGTTTTTGCCTCTTGCTCTTTGAAAGTTAAAGGAAAATAGGTTTTTTTATTTCTTAATAAACCGGGTACCCGGTTCTCTTAAAATAACTACCTGATACCCGAACCGAAAATTCGGGTATCACATAATAAATAACCGAAACCGGCCCGAATTTTCGGGTTCGGTTAACAATTTTTTTTGCACACCCCAAATTAACGGAATATAGACATTGGGTGGGAAAGTGGTATTTTAAAACTTTTTGGATGGGAAAGTGTCATTAAGACAAACCAGACCTCGGGTGGGAAAAATTTGTTGACTCTTAATTACAATGTCAAACACCATTAAACAGAACAATAACACTACAGACACCGAAAAAGTTACACCGAAATTCTGTACCGGCCTACATGTAACGCACATCTGAATATTTTTACAATTTTTTTCTAGTGAACGGCCGTCCATCAAATTTGGACGGCCATTCACTCACATGGACGCCCGTCCATATTATATGGACGGGCGTCCATATACAAGGGACGGGCGTCCCCATTTAAAGGACGCCCGTCCATGAATAAAATATAATAAAAAAATTTGTAAAACATTATGGACGGCCGTTCATAGGTTGTGGACGACCGTCCCTTAATTTTGGACGAGCGTCCTCAAATACGGGACGCCCGTCCAAACTTAATTTGTTTTAAAAAATANCCAAATTCGTTAAAGATAATATCATCTTGTTTAAAGACAGTATCTACGAATGCTAGCACTGTTGCTTCTACTGTACGCTCTGCTGGCGCCTCAGTTGCTGCTTCTATTTCTACTTCTTCTGAAGATCAAAAAGATCAGGTTACATATTTCTTTTCTTCTTAAATTTGAATTCAGCTTTTGAATTTAATTGGAAGATTTTTTTTATTATTATTATTTATTATGTACTCTGTTCGGTTCCGATAAATCAACTCAATTTATTACAATTGCTGTTTACTTTTAGTTAAGTAGACATGCCTCATGAGAATCAGACTGATGATATATATAGCATTTGTTGAGTTGATGTTGTAATGAGTAAACGTTTGGAACTAAAGCAAAATTTAAGCCTTAACTAGTCTTATTGTATATCAGCACTTAATTATGGGAACTTTCTAGGATGAAGTGGTATCGCTTTTTTAATGTTTCTTTAAACTAGCGTTTGTCAGACTTAACGATTAGGCCTGACCCAAATTCATTTTGCGTATGGAAGAAATAAGTTTGTAAATCGAGTGTTCAGTATATTTGCTGTAATCTTAAATTGTGAAAGCAAGACTCTCTATAAGTACTTTTATTGCATTCTGTCAAATTTTTCTTTTTCCGAAAATATTTATGGTTGTTCTATGTTCTTTTGACTTGTAACTTTGTGCAGATAGTGCATTTTCTTCCTTTTAGTTTGTTTTACCTTCTAATATGTAGATAACGTTTTTATTCTAATTACTCAAAGTGTATTTTCTGTGCAATGGGTTAGTTCTTATTAGATGTTTTGGTTCGGTAAGACCTCTATTTTCCTGCAACATGCAGGGTTAGATTCCTAATTCCTTATGGCATGCATCTGCTTCCACTTTTCCAAAATACTTACGTTTAATTGGATGTTCTTTTGAACTTCTGCTGGTGAATAGGTGACATGGGCTGGCTTTGATTGCCTAGAGCTTGGTCCATCTGTCTGCAAACAAGTTCTCTTACTTGGTTATCAGAATGGTTTTCAAGTCTATGATGTGGAGGATGCCTCTAACTTCAGTGAACTCGTTTCGAGGCATGATGGTGCTGTTTCATTCTTACAAATGCAACCTTTGCCTGTGAAATCCAATGGGCATGAAGGATTCAGAAAGTTACATCCTTTCCTGCTGGTTGTTGCAGGGGAAGACATTAATGGTTTAAGCTTGGGTCAAAATCATAGTCATCTGGGTGGGGCCCGAGATGGTAATGTGGAGTCTCAGTCGGTAAACTGTGTCAACTCTCCTACAGCTGTTCGGTTTTATTCCTTTCAGTCTCATTGTTATGAGCATGTCCTGAGATTCCGGTCATCTGTGTGCATGGTTAGATGCAGTCCTCGAATAGTAGCTGTGGGTCTTGCCACGCAGGTCAGTTTGGGCTATCTGGGACATTATTAGAATGGAATTAAACCAAAATTTTTAATAAATAATATCATTAGCTGCTGCCATGTAGATAAAGAGCATTTGTGCATGTTGTGTTGGGGTTGAGATTGTATTGAATAATGTTAGAGATAGACTTTTCAAATGATGTAAATCATCCTGTAGATTTGTATCTTTTCTCTTCCTTTGGTAAATCTCAATTCTTATTAGTTTAATTCCTTGGGGTAGGTGTGTTTTCCTTTCCTTTCTTTTTTCTTTTTCCTTTGTAGGTTAAATATTGGTAGTTTTGCTGAGGTGACTAAACAAGTCATTTTTAACTCTTAAGTTGATGCACTATTATGATGTATTCCTATTGACAGTTGTTCCATTTATAATGTGACAATTATGTGGTTTTATTTTGACTAAGTTCACTTGTAGATGATATGCTGTAGGTTTCTTTTCTGACCTGCTTGTTAATTTGTGCAGATATACTGTTTTGATGCACTCACTCTTGAGAATAAGTTCAGTGTCCTAACCTACCCTGTTCCTCAGCTATCTGGGCCAGGAGCAATTGGGGTTAATGTGGGTTATGGTCCTTTGGCTGTTGGTCCGAGGTGGTTAGCCTATGCTTCCAACAACCCATTGTTGTCAAATTCAGGACGCTTAAGCCCACAAAACCTAACACCTCCAGGTGTCAGTCCCTCAACATCGCCTGGTGGCAGTAGTTTGATGGCTCGGTATGCAATGGAGTCTAGTAAACAGTTTGCTGCTGGCCTCATCAACCTGGGGGACATGGGATACAAAACTTTGTCAAAGTATTGTCAAGAGCTGCTTCCTGATGGATCTAATTCTCCAGTATCACCAAATTCAGTCTGGAAAGTTGGTAGACACACTGGGGCAGATATGGACAATGCAGGAATGGTTAGTTTTGCTCTCAATATTTAGTATTCCAATTTCATTATGCTTGTAGCATGATAGTACGGATTTCTTTTCTCTGACAATCATAGGTGGCTTAATTTATCCATAGCTTTATCCCTCAATATAAAGATTCTCATGTTAGTGCTTGCTAAAGTGTTGTTCATGAGAATATGGACCCAAAATCAACATAGATTATCTTCTCTTTTCCTTGTCTTGTTTCTAATGACAAAAAAAAAAAAAAAAAAAAAAAAAATGAAGTCTTTTTGTTTTCCTTTGTCCATGGAAGGTTAATTCTTGAACAGGAAAAATAAGAAATGAGATAGATCTGATATTATCTTCAACTGGTTTTTGGGGTTTCACTATATTTGAGGATAAATTTATTATTAATGGCTGATTGTAGGTTGTGTCAAAGATTTTGTTTCCAAGCAGTTATATCGCAATTTAAAGCTCATACCAGTCCGATATCTGCTTTATGTTTTGACCCTAGGGACACTTCTGGTAAACTGCCTCAGTGTATGGGAATAACATTAACATATTCCGGATAATGCCATCCTGCACACGAAGTGGATCAGGCACTCGAAGCTATGACTGGAGTTCTTCTCATGTGCATCTTTACAAGCTACATCGTGGAATAACATCAGCTGTTAGTATATCTTTTGTTTGAAAATATTTATTGCCCACACCCCTTATTTTATTTTTGGTGTTTCTGTATGTGGATCTTTAATCATTTGTTTATGTCTATTTTTACCTGGCAGATGATCCAAGACATTTGCTTTAGCAATTATAGTCAGTGGATTGCGATTGTTTCATCAAAGGGGACTTGCCATGTTTTTGTTTTATCTCCTTTTGGTGGTGATTCTGGATTTCAGACTCTTAATTCTCAGGGTGGAAAACTATCTTTGTTTCCTACTTTATCTCTACCTTGGTGGTCTAGCTCATCTGGCATCAGTGATCAGCAGTGTTTGCCACCCCCGCCACCTGTTTCCCTCTCTGTCGTGAGCAGGATAAAGTATAGTAGTTTTGGATGGCTTAATACAGTAAGCAATGCTGCTGGATCCTCAACAGGGAAAGTTTTTGTGCCATCTGGTGCTGTTGCTGCTATTTTTCATAATTCTATATCTCAGAGTCTGCAGCATGTTAACTCGAGAGCCAATTCATTGGAGCATCTGTTGGTTTTTACCCCATCAGGTCATGTTGTTCAGCATGAGCTTCTGCCATCAATTGGTATGGAATCAGGTGAGAGTGATTTAAGAACCAGGACAGCTTCTTCGTTGCATGTACAAGAAGATGACTTACGGGTGAGAGTTGAACCTGTACAATGGTGGGATGTCTGCAGGCGATCAGATTGGCCAGAAAGAGAAGAATCTATTTTCGAGGCGACTTGTGATAGACAAGTTGCTGCTGAAATAGTTCAAAGCAAATCAGATTGTGAGGATAATCATGGAATTGATTTTCTGGACATTAATGATTGTGTTGGTGGAAAAAGTACTGAAAAAACTTATTCTGTAAAGTCCCATGAGAGATCCCACTGGTATTTATCTAATGCAGAGGTGCAGGTTAGCTCTGTTAGGTTACCAATATGGCAAAATTCTAAGGTATTTCTTGTGTAAACCTGTAGTCCCTGTAGTCCTTACTATTCTGTGCTATATCTTTGTTTTGATTTATTTCCCTTGTTTCTCTAGATTTTTTTCTTTATGATGGGTTCCCCAAGAGTTAATAATTTTGTTAGTGGAGAGTTTGAAATCGAAAAGGCCCTAGTCCATGAGGTTGAAATGAGACGGAAGGAGTTGTTGCCAGTTTTTGAACATTTTCATAGCATCAAATTAAGCTGGAATGGCAGGTACTTTGCATGCTTTTGTGTCTGAATATAATTATTGCTTATGAGATAGGATATATATTTCTTTAAAAGAGATTCTGGTCAAATATATATTTCTTTAAAAGAGATTCTGGTCAAGAGTGAATCTTTCCCTCTACTATTGCTTTTGCTTATAGATAATGGTTACTGTTTCTACAAGGATTTAGTTTTGCTATAAATTGGTATTTTCTTATGCTAACTTGAGACTTAATGATGATTTGAATCAGCTCCTTATTTTTATTCACCGAACGAAATGAAATATAGCCATAATGCATTATCATAAAGTTTCTCTTTGGGGAGTGCCAATTTGAATGTGCATGTGTGCATGTATCTGCTTTATGTGCTTTGTTCTTATAATTTTTTTTCTTGCCTGCTTGGTTGATAAAACTAGGATTCTTGCTGGGGAAAAGTGTCCTCATTCTTTGTCTCCAGAGCCCCATCAAGCCGAGGAAAAAATCCCGCAAGAGACTGTCATTTGTCACTCAAAGCCAGCATCACTTAGCTCTACCGAAAGTTCTGAAGGAGGTAAGTCTCTGGTTCTTAAATTTTTCATGTGTCTGTTATTTGAAGACAATTTACTGTGAATTTGTTGATTCTGGAACAAGAAATAATTTGGAAGATGATATAAGAGACTCTCCATCACTATTGTTCTTTTGCTGCAAAGGATTTTTAGGAAAAGGATTGACATTGACTTAATAATTTTATTTTTTAGGTGAATGCTGATAAGTGGTTTCTGTGAATATATTAAGCATGCTAGGTTAATTTTTTTGGGTACCATGACAACTCTTTTCTTCCTGTTTATTTATTGTGTAACAAGAGCCAGCTTGATTACAATTTATTAAAGTAAATCTGTTGATGTATCTTGTTCATGGTCATGATCATTGTGAAATTTTTGAAAACAGAGTCATTCTATGTTTAAATTTTCCATCAGGTTCCTCGAGGAGAATGGAGCATTTGCTTGATTTGGATCAAGTGAATCATGAGAAATCTTATATACCCACAGGCCAGGTTCTGAATGAGATGTACCAGGGAAGACAAGATAGTACCCTGGTTGAACCATCCACTCTGAATAAAAAATCCTTAGACCATGCATCTTCGCCATCTGACTATTCAAAAAAAGTTAATTCTCATGGTAACAATCACATTCCAAATGGTCTGCCCTTGTTAGAGAGTAACTTGCCTCCTCCAGGAAGGAATCCTGGTGGACTTGGTGATATTTCAATGTTGACTGCTGATTATTTTGATTCAAATATGAATGTTGTGGAGGGACCGGGACTCCCTTCAGTACATGCTCCCGTAAATTTTGGGCTGTCTTTGCAAGAGGGGCATTGTAAAGCATTGAAGCATGATGAATGCCGCAAGTCAACTGAAGTTGTAAACGATGATGTTGATAGCAGCAGCAGCCACTGTGAGAGGGAAAAACTTGAAGAAGATGGGGAAAATGATGAAATGTTCAGTGGCATGTTTGCATTTTCCGAAGAAGGTATATGCCTGAAGCTATAGCTGCAGTAATTCTTTTAACTCCTAACTGTGATATATCTTATTAATTGAGACTGAGGCTTCTGTTTAAGTGTTTATTAGTTAAATTTGGTTGTTCACTTTATCTTTATTTGACAGGGTGATCCATAGAAACTGCAATTTTGGCGTTTAAAGAAACAATCTCCAGCCAAAATTGTTGTATAAAACTTGGTTCCAGTTGTTGTGATGATGAAAAGAGTTAACAGTGTGAATAAGAGGGTGTGGGTTTGGTTGGCAATACAAGGCAGAGCTTCATCATCGTCACATTCTCTCTCTTTTCTCAATTTCACTTGTACATTTTGTAGATGGAAATTCGTAAATTCATGGATGGTGCTAGGTTTGGGGCAAGGTTGAAATCTAAAACTCTTGGTAGAATTTGATTTGGGTTTACATTCCCTGTCATGAACCATCTATCAAGCCAGTCTGTATAGATAAATTCTGTGTGAACAATTTCTTTGCAAATTGTATAACATATTTGTTTCTCCAAAAGGAAAAAAAGAAGAGAAAAAAAAGGGGGCCGGGGTAGTTTTGTTTGTGAGGAAATGAAAAAAAAAAAAAAAAAAAAGGAAAAGATGAATTGACATTTTGTTGTGTGTTAAATTCTTGCTTCTATTGTTGCAGTTGATGAAAGCTAGATTCTAAGATAAATCACAATGGTATTTTTTTTTAATTTATTTATTTGTTTTAATATGTATTACATGGGGCAATGGTAGATGTTTGATTGATTGTGCATGGCAGAATGTATAGTGATATTGAGACAAGTGGCTGCATTTAATTTGAAAAGCAAAAGAAGGCGATGCGAGTGGTGTTAAGGCTAATCTTAAATGCCCTTCCTGGATTCCACTAGTGCTGTATCCACTCTATCGACCATCACCTCAACTTATAATCCTTTTCATTGGTTCATTCTTTCCTTCGCAATCATCACTTTGCTTTTAATTATTAATAAAACATTATTAATATTAAACTCTTGCTCATAGTACTTTATTTATTTATTTTACTAAGCGTTATCATCACCTACTATCTCAATTCCAAACTGTCCCTACTGTTCTTATCTTTCTAATATTTTAAATTATATTCTAATCTATCTTGAATAAAGTTAACCTTAGAATAACCAAATCGTAAAATTGTCTTGTTTTTTTTGAACAATATAAGATGATATATAGCTAATAGAAGGATAATTCACACCTATGTATAAATATATACTGTCATATATTAGGAAAGAATCTTTATATCAAACAATGGATGCTATGTTAACCAATTATAGCGACAAGATTGTGTAACCTATTCAAATACCGTTTCAAAAAAAAAAAAAAAAAAATCTTATACGTATTTTTATACAATGACATAACATATTAATAAACTGTTAATACTCTTTGTTTTTAACTTTTTTTTAAAATGATTTTATTATTGGGTAAATATGGATGATAAATGGGGATTTATTGTCTAAATTGTGTAATTTCATTACAAAACATACATGAATATGAAGAGATCTATAACACACCACTTTTGAGTTTCCTTGTAAATTCAATAGATACGTAATTGTTAGATGAAATATCAAGTACCCACATAATTTATAGTATAAAATTAAATAATGAGTTTGCCAACTTTAACCTTACAACTTCGTAACTTTTTCCCGAGTTCTGATTGGGTCAAAATATGAGTCAAGACAACTAGAAATAGAAAACTAATAAAACCAAAAAAACAAAAATTCACACACAGTTGCAAATATTTTATATATTTTTATTTGCTCTAAAAGATCTGCCGTTATCGTTTACAGTCATTTCAGAATCAACTGAGACGCAAACTAAGCTCAGAGACCAAACAGCCATGGATGTTATCAGTCAGTTGCAGAGACAGTTCATTGATTACACTTCATCTCTTTATCGTGAGGTTTGCACTTTCTTCTTTTTGTTGTAAGATTTTTTTTTAATTTTTTTTTTTTGTTTTAATTTAAACCTATTAGTTGAAGGAGATTGTTTCAGAGGTTAATGTTCTGTAAAAAAGATTAGTTTTTGCAAGGACTAAATGGGTTTTGTGTTGATTGTTTTCTTGTTAATGGGTTTGTTTTGTTTGTCTACAGGGATACGTTGATGATCAGTTCTCTCAGTTGCAGAAACTGCAAGATGAGAGTAACCCAGATTTTGTGGTGGAAGTTGTGTCTCTTTTCTTTGATGACTGTCAGAAGCTTGTTCAGAATATGGCCCAAGCTCTGTGAGTGGTTTTCCTCTCTTTTCTTTCAACTTTTTATTTTCTTTTTTACAATTTTTGACTTTTGTGGCTGATTTTTGAAATTTTTAACTTTTTTTTTTTTTTACTGTTTAGAAAGAAAAAATTTTAATTTTCCTATAATTGTTGATTGGGTTTTCTTTTTATTTCCTTCAATGTTTAGGGAGCAACAAAATGTAGACTTTAAGCAGGTAGATTCCCATGTCCATCAACTGAAGGGTAGCAGTTCCAGGTATTTGCAGCTTTTTTTATTATTGTTTTATAAATATACTATTAAATTTCCTCATTTAATATGTCCTTCTCAGAATAACTATTACAAAATCTTTGATTTTGGCGTGAATATTTCTAATATGATAGTAGAACAGTATGACAAGATAACTAATTGCTGTTTATAAGTGAGTTTTCATCATGCCAGGATCATCTTAATTATATTATTCTTCTTGTTATTTTGAAGTGTTTGATGACATTGGTTTTTATGGTTAACAGTGTTGGTGCATCGAGAGTTAAAAATGCATGCATTGCCTTCAGAACTTTTTGTGAGGCCCAGAACCGCGAAGGGTGAGTTATGGCACACTCATAGTGCGTGATTTCATTAACCTCTGAAAGTTTGTTTGAACAATTATTTTCTTTGTGCATCGGTTGATTATGAATGATGACAGAATCTTTTTGAAATCCGAAACAGCCCAATAGATCTAACATTTGTGACTTTTGAAATGAACATAATGAACACTTATCTGCTATTTAACTAAGGGATTTTGAGCTGTTTCAAATTTTTAAAAAATTGGGTATGGTTCTTTTATTTTAGTTCTTGACCTTAATTGATTGACTTCTAATAAGTTTAGAAACTCTCACTTTCTGAGCTAATGTATGCTTTTGATCTTGTTTGAAGAAGGCTAAATAGTTTTTGCTGTTGTCTAGTATATGGCTTATGTCAAATTGTGACGTTTGGTTATCTTTTTCTAGACATTGAAATTACTGTTCTTATATAGAAGTTAATAAATACTCTTTGAAATTTTAGGAAAAGAGTTAAGGGTTTTTCAAGGGTCCATGTCTTACATTTATTTTGAAAATGCAATTAGATAGCTAAAGTCTCTGATGGTCCTATTGAAGTTTAAAAAACATTGGATGTCCTTCCTGATCATTTGTCAGTACTGATCCATTCCTATGTGGTATGCAGAAAATATTGTACCATGCATGAATCTTCTTGGAGTTGTAAATTGTCCTAATTTTGTGTATATATAAAAGTTGAATTCTGATGAAGGGAGTATTTACTGTAGTGGTTGCAACTGAAACTGATTAACTCAAGAATGTTCTGGTGCAGTTGCTTGAGATGCCTGCAACAAGTGAATCAGGAATACTCTGTATTGAAGAACAAACTTCAACAGCTGTTTAGAGTAAGTACAAAGACTATTGAAATAGTTGACAGTTTACAGGGTTTTTTCTAATTATCCAAGGAAGAACCTTTCTCCATTTAATTCTTAAATAAAAAGCTGCTCCTTCGAAACTGAATTCCTATTTGCTACTGCTTTCCTAAATGAAGCTTCCTTTTGTCTTTTACCATTTTGATATTTCAGCCCCATCCAGACTACACTTGTTTTACTCATTCATCATTATAAAGTAGGGTGGGAAGGATTTTTTTTCCTCCTCACTTGGAAATACAAAGATATTCTTAGCAATTTGCATAATCGTTGTTTCTTGCTTTTGTCTGAAATTGGATTTTAACTCTTTTTTCTTTCCTTGCTGTTTGGTCACTGTAGTTGGAGCAACAGATCATTGCTGCCGGTGGGTCAATTCCTATGGTGGAATGAGGATGCTGATAGTATTCCCTAGTGATGAAGCATAGAGACTGAACTGATATTTGTCATAGCTACTCTTATATGAGTTTTTATTGTTCCGAATATTGTTCCGAATTCCAGCTCCTTTGAGTTGATGAAGGATTGTCTTAGATAATTTCTGAAGCCTGTATTAGAGGAGATTGCTGGTGTGAATAAATTTTCTACCTCTTCTGCTGAAAAGTATATGAGTTTCTTTGCTGTTCAGTGGTCTAAATTCTTAGGTCAATTAATCTGGCTAGAAGACTGATGCTGAAGTTTTCCAATTATCTTTGACCACACCTATTTTGAACCTAATCTAATGGTGTGGATCCCATTTATTGCATGTGACTATGTTTGGTGTTCAAACGTTATTGTTAAAACTTGAATTTTGTGTATATGCCACCACCCAAATGAAGGTTTGGAGTCTAGCTACAGATGGACATATTTCAACTGCTGGGTTCTTTCCATTTGATAAAGAATGTTAGCCTTTAGGTAATGTAAGAAATTGTATTGTATAGTAGTTGTGGTAAGTACAGCCCTCCACAGTCAACTGGGGAGAAGTGATTTCTGAACTCTGATGGTGCCGGGCAACGAAGGATGACTATGACAATTGGGTTGGCTGTTTCCATCAGAAAGTTGTATGAAGGTGAGACAAGTAGAGAAGTTATTATGGGTAATTCTTCAATGTAATGGTTATTTATGGAAGCTGTGGTCCTGAGATGGTTCAATGCTTTGAACAGTTAAGCCTGGTCCGCCTATTGAGGACAAATGGTCCCAATTAACAAGTTTGAAGGAGATGTTTCTCTGTTGATTAATCCTAAAGTAAATTCTTTGTCAGCGTTACCAATAGGATGGTGTGCCAATTTGTTGAGATTAACATCATTTTATTAGTGTTGATTCCTCGCTGTCCACAGACAGTGTATTTGATAATCTGCCGCTGCTCACGGTGTTTTAACCATTCGTTTTTCCAATTTTGTGCTACTTCAGTTCGTAATGCATTCCCAAAGAAATTATACCAGGTTCCGAAAAGGGCATTTTGAAAAATTGAAATTGTCCCTTTAATTTTAGGGATGTAGAAGTTGTAGCCGCATTTTAGAGTAGAAGGTGAATGGATGTGATGGGTGTTATTAATAGAGGATTGGCTTTGCATCATTAATGGGGTGGGTGGTCCATAAGATGATAGGAACATCAACTGATCAATATGGGGATGACTGGTGAGACAATTACTGCTCATCACAGTTAAGTAACTCTGTCAAAAAAACTGGATAGAAATAGAATATAAAGCCCCCACTCATTTTATAGTGCTTTTTATTTAAAAAAGTATTTTTTATATAAATAAAGAATATTTTTATTAATTTTTAAATTTAAAGAACCAAATTTTTATTTAAATCTAATAAACTCTTTAAATTTTATGAGAAAGAATATGTTTTTTCAAAAAAGAAACTTAACAGAAGAGATAAATCATAAATAAAATATATAAAAATTTGTAATTTATTATTTAAAATTGGGATAAAAAGTAAAATTTGACTCTCTAAATGTGGGAAGTCAGACTCACTTTTTAATTTATATTTAAAAAATAAAGAGTTTGTTAAACTCTTGTTTCTATAGATAAACTATTTATAATAAATAATTTATGTCATATAAAGAGTCATTTGAAAATATTCTTAATACTTTTTTATGTAAATAACACTAGTACGTGAAGCAATTAAACCCTCACCTAATCATTTTCTTTTGCTCCCTACCGACCCTACGTATTTGCCCATGGTAAGAAAAAACTTAAAATGGTAAGTTAGTACTAATTAAAACCCCTAATTAATATGTAACTCACGATGAGAGTAACCAATAATATGATCATCAGCCAAGCTTACTCGGACAAGAAATCAATACAACCAGGTAAGCAAAATGTCACATTAATCTTATATTTTGATATGTAAGAATATGAGATGATAATGTCACAAAGCTATTTGTCGGAACATTTTGCAATATTCTTTCGTACTTATTTTGGTTGTCATGGTGATTCATGCATGTTTTTATTTTTCTATAGAGAAATAGAAGGCCATGTAGTTTTTGGCAGGTAGTGTCAGAAGAAAGCTTTAAACGAATGGTGTTGAGAAATTTCTCATTGTCTTGACTGCCAAACAGTAAAGGCGCTTCGTCATAGAATTGAATGAAGGATTTTGTTTGAGAGTGGCTAAAAACATGGTGGAGCTAGCTGGATGAAAAAGGACCCAATTCAACTACCCGGCCCGGAGGGTATTGGGGTTGTTGCGTTTGGTGAAAATGTTTAACACATTTCTCCATGATATTGGGACCATCTTACTCTTCCCACGCAAGCTACATATACTCAAAATTTTAATGTCTTTTGCATTAATCTTTTAAGACACCTTATTTTTAATTCAGCAAAGCTTTTGATAGGTCAGCTGTATTATTATTGAGATCCATTCTTTTCAAGTAAAATTAGGCCGAGTTTTTTTCTGCTTCAAACATACTTACAATATGTACGTGATTCAGGTAATTAATGTCGTCCTTTATTTGAGCACAACACTTAATTAACAAGTCTCTATCATGTACTAAATCATCCCAACAAATGTATGAGTGGACATTCGCAGGTTAATCATATAATATATGTTTTGATATGATTTTGATACAAACAAGTTATAGATGGATAGAAAATTCGAGTTGTAGAGTATTTTTGATATTCTGATAGAATTCCTTTCAAAGAAGAGAAAACGATATATTCTCACCCAAGGTTTGATGAAATCTCAAGTTGGTACTACAGGTTCTATTTATTCTAGATTCGCATCCTTAAAATAACACTGTTAACATTTTTTAGGATAGTAAGGGTGTAATTACTATAATACCCTTTAACCCTAAATTAATAAATTATATTTTAACTCCTAAATTACTAAAATTATAATTAACCATCTTATTTTGAAATTACATCAATTACACCCTCAGTGACTGTGCACCGTCTCGATTTTCACTGGATCTGAGCTATTTCTGATGCCGACGAAACCCCTGGTCACCTCCATCACCTTCCCCATCATCCGTCGTCCAAAACCCCTCTGGTTCCCAACTCATTGGGCCCTCCGATCGCCGGTTTCGTCAAGCTTAGGTTTTCGTCGTTCTTCGCAGGATTCTGGTCGATTCCGACGACGAAAATCTAATTCGATGTCACCACTGCAACCAGCGTCTCCTAATCTACAAAACCCCTATGTCCCAGTAACCGTTTAGTGGCCATTCGCCGGTGGACACCGACGAAAACCAGTCGCATGTGGCGGCTGTCGTGGCTGGAGATCGGCGGGCGATGAGGAGTTGTCAAGGGTATGGTTTTGTAGAGGGGAGGATGAGGGTTCGAATGGTGGTGACAAGGGTGATTTTGGGTGGAAGAATCGTCGAAAAAGAGCGAAAAACGACGGCGATGATGTTGCTAATGTGTGCCAGATTTTTGTTAGGGGTAGCGATCTGCTAATGTGCGCCTCCTCTGTGAAATGATTAATTTACCCCTAAACTGTTATATCTAACTATTTTTCGTTACTTTAAGGGTGAAAATCTAGAATAATAGAACTTATGGTACCAACTTGAGATTCGTCAAACTTGGGAGGGAATATGTCGTCTACTCTTCAAAGAAATTAATTGATTTCTCGTAAGAAATAAGTTTAACAGACTTCTTCCAGCTCCAGTACTTGATATTTAATCATTTATAGCCTACAAACTTTGGGTCCAAGTTAAAGAAAGAGCTTCTTTTGACCAACTTTTTTACACCAGCGGTCGTATACAACCACAGCGTTGCGGATGGGGAGTGTGCCTCCGGCTCCGCTAACTTAATCGTTTTAATTACTAATTAATATATCACGTAACGATCTAGTTAAAAAGAAATGAAACTGAATACCCACAGTAACAATTCTGTTTATTTACTCTTACGGTAACGACACCTGCCAGTTAATTACACTACATTACCTCCTCATTAAACTACTTATTAACAAACAAATCTTCATACGTGGCGGTGGCACCTTCTACCTGTCGGTGATATTGATGTGTGCCCTAGCCCTTCGGGATCCAAGTCCAAACCCAATGGAGCACGTGATCCCCGTCCGAACCACCGTCTCAACATCTGCTTATCTGTCATCCGAACCACAGGTTCGTTCTTCCAGGTAGGCTCGGACAACCGTTTACCCTTGAACCAGTTCCCAATAAAAGAAAAATTAAGAATATTAATATAATAATAGCGTTAACAGAGCGACTACTGGTTACGCAAGTAACAGCACCTACAGCAGTGATTTCCATTTCCATCTTCTCTCAGAAGCCTAAATAATGAAAAGCCCAAGGCTTCAAGAACAAGATTGAACAAGGAGAAGAAGAAAATCATAAAATAGAGCTATACTATATACCTCTATTGCTTCTCTTCCAAGCCATAGCTAAGGTACTTATCAATCTCTTTTCTTTTTTTCTTTTTTTGATGCTGATAATTTCGCCATTAAAGCTTTCACGGCATTTCCCACGAGAAATCGGTCCATTTCACTCACGAAAAAGCTTTTCTATTACTCTTTAACCCTTCTTTCTTCACTATATAACCATCTGTCCACACTCCCTCCACTGCAACAAGAACAATGCTTTCCACAATGGCGAAACCAAAGAAGAGGATCATTAACCTCTCTTACATTTTCTTCACTCTGTTTCTTCTACAATGTAAATTATTAGATGTTTTTGCTATTCTAGACCCTGTTGATTTCTTAGCTTTACAAGCCATTAGAAAGTCTCTCGAAGATATGCCTGGTTCTAACTTTTTCGCTTCATGGGACTTCACTTCTGATCCATGTAACTTTGCTGGAGTGTACTGTGAAGGCGATAAAGTTATTTCTCTAAATCTTGGAGATCCTCGGGCCGGCTCGCCTGGTCTCACGGGCCGCCTCGACCCAGCCATTGGTAAACTCTCTTCTCTCGCGGAGCTGTCAATCGTGCCTGGCCGAATCATCGGCCAGCTCCCGCAATCTTTGTCTCAGTTGAAGAACCTGCGTTTCCTTGCAATCAGTCGGAACTTCGCATCCGGCGGAATTCCAGAAACTCTCGGCCAGTTACGTGGCCTGAAAACGCTTGATCTCAGCTATAACCAGCTCACAGGAGACATTCCTCGCACAATCGGTACCTTACCGGAGCTATCGAATGTCATACTTTGCCACAACAAACTGTCCGGTTCGGTCCCTCCGTTTCTCTCCCAAACACTAACCCGACTCGACTTGAAACACAATGACCTCTCCGGTTCGCTATCTCCTGATGCTCTGCCTCCGTCAATGCAATACCTCTCTTTGTCGTGGAACCGGCTGACTGGACCGGTTGACCGGTTGTTAAACCGGCTCGACCAGTTAAATTACCTGGACTTGAGTATGAACCAGTTTAACGGTAATATTCCAAGTCGGATCTTCTCATATCCAATAACAAACCTTCAGTTACAGAGAAATTCATTTACTGGTCCGGTTCAGCCAGGTGATCAGGTGACAATCACAATCGTCGACTTGAGCTACAATAGGCTATCAGGTCAAATCTCGCCAATGTTCTCGAGCGTACAGAATCTATATCTAAATAACAACCGGTTTATGGGTCAAGTACCGGGTAGTTTTGTGGATCGGTTATTGGCTGCTAGTATACAGACTTTATATCTACAGCACAACTATTTGACAGGAATAGAGATTAATCCGGCGGCTATGATTCCGTTGAGTAGCTCGCTGTGTCTGCAGTATAATTGTATGGTCCCGCCCGTACAGACGCCGTGCCCATTGAAGGCTGGGAAGCAGAAGACCAGGCCTGCTGCACAGTGTAACGAATGGAGAGGGTAGAATTGTGAATTTGGAAATTGGTGAGGGGTAAATCGGGAAGAAAAGATAAAAAATACGGTATCTTTATTAATTTTTTGTGGGTGGTAATTTTGATTGACTAATTTATTTTTTTGAGGAATAAAGAATGTTGTGGATAGAGGGCAATTGTGTAGTGTTAATTTCATGTTTTGTTATTAATGTTAATGTATGATAATTTACGTCTTCATTATTATGTTTGGTGTATGATATTAAATTCTTCTGAAGAAAAATTATACAATTCAGAATTTCAGATTCATTGTCTTCGAGAAGCATATTATGTCTTCCCTTCTTCTTGATTGGGCTGCTAGTGTTGTGAAAATTTGTATTTATTACTTAGAACAAATATTATGAACAACGGTCATTTGATAAGCAATTGTATATATGTTAGTGAGTGATAAGAATCTTAGATATGATAAAACAGTGCAGACAATAGTTGTTGGAGGAGAATCCTACTTTCACAAACAACAAACACACCTTTCAACCTGGATGGACACGAAATTTCCTATAAATATTTTATTATCCCAAGACAGATTCTAAAAAACATAAAAATAAATTCTTACACTAATGTTTGTTTTAAGAATAAAAATTGGTTCACAAACTAATCTTATAAACTTTTAACATGACAATTTCAATTGATAAACTCAAAATGGATAGGTGGGATCTTGTAACAAATAGACAAATGAAAAAAAATTTAGAAAATTGAGTTATAAGTATCGTCCTATCCTTTATATACCACTAGTCTCAAACTTTTTGGTAGTTTGTCATATCTATATATATATATGTGACAGAAATGATAGTCCTCTCCTCTGCTTTTCAGCTTTTCATTTGCACGAGCTTGTGCTGTGATTGATAACCCATCATCGTAATTCATGGAAACCAGCTAACTGCATGAATATATTGATGAGTGAAGCGAGCAAACATTCATCACACACACTTGGACTTTTAACGTCACTTGTTCTATAATTGTTAAAAATTAAAACTAAAACCAAATAAAATAAACAGGGTAAAAGCAACAAAATCATGAAGAAGGGTCTGGAGTCTGGACATGTGAAAGAAAAGGATATTAGGTGAGGGTGACTTAAATTAAAGGTTAAGGCACATGGTGAATAGCACAAAGGTCAATCTGTAAGACTATTTTTTTTTAACTCGATGCTTGGCCTCTGCCAATAGGATAATTTAAAACAATATTGCACATCCCACCATCACCTCTTTTTGGTCAAATCATTTCTTTTTTTCTTATAATTAATTTCCAAGAGAAGAAACTGCTAATAATTTTATTAAACCTGTCGAACTTCGTTCTAATAAAACCTTTTATTTGCTTTTAATAATTAAAACTCACTTTCAAAGATTCAATAAGAGTCTCAAATTTCTTTAGCTTTTGGTTGGAAAAGATAAGTTAAATCCATTCAACCACATTATTGTTGACCAATTTTGTGGGCTCTACTCATATTCTTATTGCTATAGAAAGGCATATATTTGCCCTATTTTTATTTTTTTCAATGCTAAGCTTCCCTGCTTTAAGAATATTTTCATTTTCATTTTTTTTAAAAGCGTAGGTAGGCCCTCATAATCATAAAAGAATGCATGATTATGCAGTGCGTATAACTTCAAAGTTAAACTCCAACTCCATGCATGTTTGATTAATGCCATTATTCTATGAGTAATATTTGCTTTGTAAGGGTCTTTCCAAACCCATAAGTAGGGGCTTCACTCTCAAGCCAATACACTTATAACTAAAAAAGGAACCGTCAAATTCAAAGAAGCATATAATTGACTAAAGCATGACCTTGTAATCATGTCTACAATATTGTTTGTTTAATTTCTCATTTGAAAGAAAAGAAAAGAATTATTTCATAAAAATTCTTAGGTTTATTACTCAAGGTCTTATGTTCGAATTTCTTTTCGAAGTGTTAATAAGAGTAATTATTGGAGCTCTTATCTAACTAGTAGTTTTAAGATCCTAAAAAATTAGTTAAAGTTCATGTAAATTAGCCTTCAGATCATTTAAAAAAAAAAAAAAGACACTGTCAAATCTTTTAGACAAACAAGATCGTGGGCCACTTACCCACCCCACCACACCATCATACCGTAGTCCTTACCTATGGAAACCCTCCAGCAAGACCCACACAAAAAAAGGTTAACAATTTGGTTTCTAGAAACCATCCCTCAAATTTGATGGCTGGAATCATACTAAAAGCATTTTTCTTATTTTCTGGATTTAAATATTACCAAATTATTCTCAGAGAATAATTATACCCAACGGTATCTTATTGGGCGATAATAAATAAACAAATAAATACTTACAAGGTAATTCGCATGGGGTGCTCTACAACTACACCCTTATTCAGGAAAATTATACAAATTTTCAAGATTATACTCTTTACATTATTGGTTTGTTCTGTACAGCTATATGGACATGCTTGACTCTTATTGCATAGTCATCTCATATCACAGGAAAAACTGTCTCCTCCGGATTCTCCTCTTGGTCATAGCCATTGGAGCTTCTCCATTCTCCGGAAATTCCCATCTCACAACATCTCCATCCCAAGAAGAGCTAACTAGCATCGGGTAATATGGGTGCCAACTACAATCTCTTACAGGTGAAGTATGGTGCCTTAGTACAGCAACTTGCGCTCCACTCACCTATAAATCACCATAACCACATTAGGAGAAAGGCTCACCATTATTGATCTCTGGTTATTGATCATGCAAATATCGGAAAAAAAAAAAATATGAGTTTTGATTACTTACCAAGTCATAAACATAAACACAACAATCATGGGATCCAGTGTAGATATATTTTTGGCCAGTGCTGCAGAAAGTGATTAAACATAATTAAAATTAAATTAATTCAGGTTTTAAAACTGGTAGAATAGAGTCAAACGACTGAAACAAAAATCTTGCCCAGAGAAAATAGATTTTTAACTTAAAAGCATGGCTAGAGCCTACTTAAAACTAGGGCCTCTAGGAATTTAACGTAAACACATCAGAGGAAAGCCATCTAAACTTTCAAATGCTCATAATCAAATTATCATGAAGTAGAAATTGCACTTGTTACTTACCTATATGCAGGCGAAAAGTAGCAACGGATAAGAGTACGCAGGATGGAATGACCTCTATATGTAGCCACCGACTGATCAGATGGGTGTTTCAAATCTCTTGCCAGGGATGGGTAGTCCATCCATCTATAATCCCATTCATAATTCCTAAGCCTCACATGGCTGGGATGAAAGAAAACTATTATTAGCATTCTCCATCCGTAGTATGTTCAATCTTAAGATATCACACAATCATAACATTCATTGGTTACTCTGAGAAATCCAAGCCCCCCACTAGCCTTTCAAAATCTTGCTCTTTTAAAATTTCGGAAGGGATTGAAAGAACAAAGTTTTTAACAGGGTTAATGTGATACATTCATAAATCAACAAAAAGAAAACATAAGACATGCATCATATACTGACTGCACTTGAACAATTAATTGATTCAAAGAATCAAAGGCGATAAACTAAACATACCAGGTAGCATTAGAGGACATTTTCCGAATATCCCAAAGTTTGGTAGTCTGATCTTTACCATTTGAGATAAAATAACAACCATCTCCACGGGTATCAATATATGTAATCCCTTCTAAGTGTCCCATCAGGACTCCTGCTGACTTCCCTTTTGCATTTAGGCAACGTTTATCCCACACCTGTAGAACGTTTAAGAACTAAGTAAAATAAACACATCCATATTTGTTGCCTTTTCACATATGATCTATACATAAAATTGTGCATTCCACTAATTTGCTTGTTGAGACCAAAATATGATCATGAAACAGGCCAACATAAGCACTAATGCATTAGATTAACTCATATCTTTCCACAAAATTAGATGCAGGAGTGAACTGGCTTCAGAAGGTTCAAAAGTTCTAGATTGATGAAATCTTAGAACCTTAATGGATTACAAGGGATCATTTATTATTGTATTCACTATTTCTATTAACAATACCACCACCATCATCACTGAAAACTTAAGTTGTTCTGCTCCAGTATGTGCAGGACAACCACCTCTGCCAAAGTTTGTCTGCTGTAATTACAACATTAAGTTTTTAATAATTCCTTATATCCCTCCGATAGGATTCCAAATTTACCTCCAAGATGAAGTGTTGGGTTGCAAACTTGCTGAAGCAATCTAAACTAGTCAACCATCTCAGAAAGTGACTCCTAACTTAAAAGCAATCTGGAAGTCAATAAAAGTTTATTTTTTAACATTATGCAGGATAGGTATTTACTCCTGCAAACCGACGATTAAAGCCAAGTGTACTAGGTTCAGACTTCAACTATTAGTTGCAAAAATAGAATTTTATTTTTATTTATCTATTTTTGTTCTTCTATATGCAAACCATGGTACACATTTGAATAGCATAGAAAAGTTGCAAGATCAAAACGGTCAGCTAATAAATCAAAGCAAACTCATATTCACTGACCATTAATCAAAATTCAATACCAACTAGTTTGTGACAGCTACATATGAATAGAACAAAATTTGAAGTACAGTTATATTAACATTTCTGGCACATCTAACATGCAATCATTAAATGAACAGCCAAGCAAGAAATATTAAGTCAAGAACAATGATTGACTATAAGAAATATAATGTCCTCAAAGATGGCAATCAAATCTAACAGAAACCAACAAGTATAAATACATTAAGAGGTATTACATTCTTAAAACTTCTAATTAGAACAGAATTGAATTTACCTTACAAAGATTATCATCACTCCCAGAATAAATTAGATGGCCACTTTCATCAGCAAAACACACAGTGTTAACATCAGACTGCAAAATAAAACACTCATCTATTAAGAACCTGGACAAATATTTATTATCAGAAGAAGAATTCTCTACACTGGAATAAAGCCTCTTCATCACAAGAATAAGAGAGAAAAATCAAACGAAAATAAAATCACTCTTCCATTTCAATACTGCTTTCAGGAAAGCTAATTTGTTCAACTTCACTCATTTTAATTTCTCTAGTTCACTTTGAAAATGTTGAAGTACAGGTAAAAATTGCAGGACTTTAGTCCCCAATTACACAACTGATAAACCTAACATCCTAGTAGCTTTTAGAACTCTGTAAGCCAGCAGAATATAACTATGGCAGCAATGTACAAAGAGTAAATGACTATAGGAATCAGACAAATATGCAACACGAATAGAAAATGAGATAAAGGATGTGAACATCACTATAGCAGTCTTTACCGTGTGTGCCAAAATTTTAAGAGAAAGCTTATTTGCTTCAAGATCATAAACATATATAGAATCGTCACTACTTCCAGCAACAAGTTCTCGCCCATCAGTTGAAAATTTCACAGAAAAGATTCCAAAAGAATAACCTCCTCCATCACTACCAGCAGAGAAGTCCAATCCATCGTGTATCTCCTGTATAGCATGTGGGTTCCAAATGTGAGCCAATTTTACCATGAAAAAACAAATGCTCCAGTAAAGAGGAATAAGAAAACAAAAGGACTGAACTAAACAAAAGATACGCCTGAATACTCATCATTGAGGCTTATGAGCTAAAGAGTTATGTAGAACTCAACAGCACAAAAAGTTCTTGAAAACCTTGTATCCCTCTATAGAAAGATATCGTCTTCACTATACCATAAAGAGAAAGGATGACTAAGAATTTTACCTTGGACGATGCACCAACAAGGAAGATGGGAAAAAATAAGATATGCTTGAATTTATTCACAAAAAGGGATCCTTACAAGTTATAGAGTTATGAGTAAAGCTCTACAGCAGAAAGAAATCTCACAGTCAAAGACATGGCAATGCATTAACATAATCCAGGTTTCATTTTCTTTTTGCATTTGAAAAATTTAGACAGTCGGATAGACGACTTAAGACACTACCATCCAAATTACAGTTTCCAAACCTAGTTATCACATGTCAATCACCAAATATGTGGTGTGCACGGCCATCAACATGCACCAGTCATTCCCATCTGTATATTTTCATTGCCTGTGATACTGATTCCTCAATGCTGGTCAAACAGAAAACCGTGTCTGTCCATCAGGTTATAAACTAAAACCTTACACAAATAATCACACCACAAAGCCAATGAAAGGAAAAGGTTGTTCTATTTGTCAAAAAGTGTCATCAATAGCATGTGAGTTTTGTGTTTCGTCTTAGCAATGCACAAAGTAAATTTAAGAATGATGAATCGCACAACATACCGTAATATTTGCATGAGACTCTGTTGCCCCAGAACCAACATTAACAATATGGACAATAGGTGACATGCTTGCATAAACCTACAAAAGCAATATAAATAATTATTAAAATAGAAGAAATAGTAATGTTCAGATCTAGGGCCATTGGGAGAGGCACCTTCATGTCATCAAACAAACTATGCTAAGGCCAATAAAGGATGACAAGATAAAAAATAAGAAACTATGCTATGTATTATACGCAATTTTTGACAAGTTGTCTCCATACATCAGATGACAGAGCAAGCTTGAGCAACAATCACAAGAATTTCAAATCACACGGGCATCTCTTACATGAAAATTAAGTAAACCAGATAGATGAACTCACTATATGGCGTTTATCTGGAGATAGAGATGTATCTGTAACTGTCCAATGCAAACTTTTGGCATGGATGTCCTTCTGTAGTTTCCATCCTCTCTCCACATTGTATATTCTAATTTGGCTTCCCTGAAATAAACATTTGGAATATTAATGAACATAGATTATCAAATTTTCTTTTTGCAGATACACTAATCACCCTATGCTGTCTTAGGCTACATGAGACATGTAGGAAAACAACCTAATCAGCCAAATAGAGAAGTCAGAAAATTTCCTATAGAACATGCCTATTACGCTACTTTTTTACATTTGAGAGAGTACCCAATTCAGATAGAGCAATAACATAATACCTGAAATCCAGCAACAAACAGAGAACCATCAGCTGAAAACTGAGAGACATATGCTCTGCTAGTTATCTGATCCACAAGCCAAGGTCCATTGACTGGCAAATATCTACTTAGAATATGACAGCAATCCACCGATGAAAACCTCCCTCTTCCTGAATAATTACCTTCTCTAGCTGCCAACATCTTTACCACAGAGACAGGCAAGCCCTGCTTCCCCGGTATTACTTTGCTCAGCTTCTCGTGTGGTGTAGATTTTAGCTTTGTGAGCTGGGCAATCTCATGATCTAAATTATTCAAAGGTTTCTTAATTTTATTATGACTGTTACTAGCTTCACTGATGGACTTATCACCGTCAAAGTAGTCAGATTCTATATCCAATCTACTCATGGAATAACCCATTTCGTCAATGTCAACTTCAATGGGTGTTACATACATTTTAACTCAAAATCACCGGCAATATTTCTTATTGCTTAAGCATTTACAAGTATGCTGAGCCTTCATAACGCCCATACGCAGGTTTTTACAGTGTATCCATCCTGCAAAATTAGCATCAAAAATAGAAAGAATAAAGCATCTAGTTCATTCTTAAGCAATAAGCATAGTAAAGTTGATTACTATTCACCAGTCTTTTAGACAATAAGCTAGTTTGTTAGATAATTAAGGCACTGTATTCAACATAGAAAATTTGGAAATAAGAAAAATCATAATTCAAATTTAAATATATGAATATTAAACTCTCTAAACCTGAAATTTACCGCCTTTTTTTTTTTTTTTTTTTGGGTGTTGGGGGGGAGGGGAAGCAATTCGATAATCCTTACTTGCAACAAACTACACAATTAAATCATTTGCAGTTCCATATATTCACATACAACCAAAAAGAAGCTACAGTTCCTTTATCTTTTAATCAACAAGGAAAATAGTGTCAACTCTCTTCTAAAAGCAATACAGTTCAAAATCGAAGTAAAAACTAAAAGTTGTAAAAGACAGCTGCTGACTCACAAGACAAACAAGAAGTTCTCCACACCAGAAGATTAAAACAAGACATGAATAGCATGGTCACAATACAGGAAGAGTGAAGCTTTATTAAAATTTAGAACAGTCTCACCTTCTCGTTTGGAAAAAAAAAATCGGGTCCTCAGCTTTAAATATCGGATTCAACTGTTTTCATAACGATATTTTGCCAATGGATAATATAACACACGGATATGTATTACCGCCTTACCGTTGTCACATTTGGTTACTTCGAGCAGATGCAGTTAGGAAACCATTTCGCGACATGCACCCAGAACGACCTCTACTGTGCACGTTGAAATTTCCGGTACATTGCACTTTTATCTGGTGTTATAGATGATGACACCATATCCAATTTAAATGTAATAATTCAATATTTTTGTAATTCTAAAATATAATATTCGCAACAGGAAATAATAATATGAATGCATTTATGTATTTTAAAGGAAACTACTTAAATATAATTAAAAGAAACAGAATAATAAAACCAAAAACGAAAGGATTATTGTGAATTTATCGTCCTATTGTACATCATAAACTTAGAAATACTGATCTTATTTATCAATTATTTTGTTTTATTTTAAATCTGTCCTAAATTTTTCTCAAAAGTCTACATGTTCATAATTTTAGAGCCTAGGCCAAAAGAGCATTTTTTAATTTATATTTTTTTTTAGATTTTGATTGTATTTGAAAAGTATTTATAAAGTTATAACTTATTAGAGAAGCTCAATGTACTCTTTTTGGGTTTTTCTAAAACTTTTATTATGTCGAATATATCTTCGCATTATTTTTATAATTCCACCATATACCCTTAATTTGAAATAAAATTGTATTCATTAATTTTTTTAGTCTATAGTCCCCCCCCCCCCAAAAAAAAAAAATCACCACTCTCCTACGGATGGAAATTCAATAAATCAATTTTATAGGTATGTAAAGTCTTACTAATACCCTATGATAGTAGTCAAAAGTTTTGTCAAAAACACTAAATTATTCTATTTGCAACATCTTTAATTAAAAATTAACCCAAACAACTAATATTAACCACTCGTCTATATAAAATCTTAGTTAACATGTTTCTTACACACAAAACTGAATTAGGAATCGGTTTATATCTTTGGTTTTCAAATTCTTCGATGGAGAGAGAAGAGTTAATCTAACTTTGAAGAAGATGAGTGAACGGGGTTAGAGTGAATTCATATACTAGGGCAACTATGTTCTTCATGTGAAGATATTAATATTGTTGATTAGGAAAACTAATATTTGTCTTTATGGCAAATATTATGTTATTATTACATGGCGAATTTCATGCTAATCACATCCTTAATTATGTTAGATTATAGCATGAAGGCATGATATATGTTTGCCTTTTATAGATTCTTATACTTGTATAAATAATCTTTTTGCACAGAACATTATATATAATACAAAACAGGGTTTTAAAACCCGGCTCGGACCAAGCGATTGAACCGAGAACCAGTGATCGAGCCGGGTTGGTTTGACTAAAAAACTGGAAATATGAAATGACCCAGTTTGAGCTGCGATTGGATCAGTTTTTTGTTACGAATCGTCGATCTAACCGGTTCGACCCAACGGTTGAATCAATTCGACTAGCAACCCGGGACCCGGTGACTTGACCAGGTCACTCCCCAGGTCGGATTTTAAAACCTTGATACAAATTACACAAAGTTGATATTTTGTTTCTCTTCTTTTCTCTTAGGCAGTCTTCGGCAGATTATATTGCTTCTTTTGCCTCTCGCTTCTTCTTCTCCTTCTTTACTGCTTCGTCTTCTTAAGCTTCTAACACTTCATGTTTTGTAAAATGCTATTTTACTATTTTGTGAGAGAGTTTTTAAAAAGTGCTACTTTTCAATTTCACCCCTAAAATAGTGTCATTTAATATAATTTCTTAAAAATTTTATTGTATTTTAACTAAATATAAAAAATCAACAAAATTTGTACCTTTGAAGAAATTATATACTTTTTGGCCCAAGCTCACGTTTATGCTGTCGAAATTTGGCCCATAATTGACGAACGCTAAACAAAATACCAAGCCGGTGTTGGATGCTTTTACCTTCACCCATACATGAAACGAAAGATATAATCTTCTTGCTCTATGATTTTGAGGGGTCATCTACATATTTAAATTTATTTAAAATATTAAATTTATAGAATATTAATAAATCTCGATAATTAGTTAAAATAGGTTAAATTGACACATACACCTCAGTCACTAAAAAAAAAAAAGGTTTCGGGTTCAAATGAATTTATGAGACAATCTTATACAATTTTGATAGATGCATAAAAGAAGATTTATTGTTATTATAAATAAAATGATTAACATAATTAATTAATTATTATTTTTTTTTTTATTGCTGTACTTTTAGAGTATGTTCTTAATGTATAAACTAATATATTTAAATTTGAAATGAAAAATTATTCACCGAAAATAATAGTTCAGTGAACTATCCGTGTAATTAACCCAAAAAATATTTTGTGTGAAGTAAATCTTATTAATTTCAAGACGTTTAAACGGGCGTCTGGACCAGAGTTGGATTGCACCTAGCTAGCCACCCTCAGTTCCTCCCATGTTCACCACATCAATCACCGCACAATGAAGCGCCTGTGGAAACTTTCAGACGCAGTCCAGGCCGAGCTCCAATGTCTCCACAGGCACACTCACTCTTCTAAACCCAAAACCATACCTCCACTTTCCCTATTCACCCTTACAAACGACACTAATTACAGATTTACCCACGACCTCTGTTCGCCGTCCCGCACCAACACCTTCGAGAGCATCATTAGTTTGTTCTCCGACAAGCTCGCACACCTGAACGCCAGCACTAGAGAAGATTTGACAAAGAATGTCTCGTCTTTGACCGTTGAGTTGCTGCAATACGTTGCGGATTTGCATAGGGTTTATGGGGTTTTGGAGGAGAAAGGTTTGCCTTTGTTTCAGAATCATAAGGATGGATCGGCTTTTGTTGAGCTGCTCAAGCAGTTGGGTTCTTGGCCTAAGTTAGCACTAGAGGTATATCATTATAAATAACATGCGAATTAATATTTAAATTGGGCTTTCGTGTTTTTCTTGTTTAATTGAGTAGTTTGCTTTAAATTTGAGGTACCGATAAATCATGGACTTTCAATGTTTATTATTTCATTGTGGATGATTCTAAAATTTTTCCTATTATTATATGAACACAATGGATTGAGTTGATCTCTGTGGAATGTTCATCTATGTATTCTACATGTTCCAGAACTAGAATTGTGTGTTTATCCATCTAATTGTTTATATTCAGGTTGTTCACTGGAGGAGAAAGCAGTCTGAGCGTGGTACTCCCATGACTCCGGAAGAGTATTCAAAGTGTATTACGGCTGCTGGTAGGATTAACAATGTAGATCTTGCTGTTGAGCTGTTTACTGAGGCGGCTAAGAAGCGTGGTAAGACAACCTGTACTTATAATGCTCTAATGGGTGCTTATATGTACAATCAACTTGGTGATAAATGTCAGTCATTATTTCGGGACTTGAAAAAGGAAGCTAATATTAGCCCTTCAGTTGTAACATACAACATTCTTATATCTGTCTTTGGCCGTATGTTGCTGGTCGATCACATGGAGGCCGCATTTCAGGGAATGAAGGACTTAAATCTCTCACCAAATGTACGCACATATAATAATTTAATTGCTGGATACCTGACTGCTGGGATGTGGGATAGTATGGAAATGACTTTTCAGATGATGAATGCACAAGGAGTAAAGCCAGATATTTACACCCACTCGCTATTGCTTCGAGGGTATGCTCATGCTAGGAATATAGATCGGATGGAAGAGACATATGAATTGATAAAACATCATGTTGTTGATAATGAAATCCCATTGATCAGAGCCATGATATGTGCATATTGTAAAATTTCTATCGCTGATAGAATTAAAAAGATTGAGGCTCTAATAGGGCTTATTCCAGAGAAGGAGTATCGACCTTGGTTGAATGTGCTATTGATTAGGGTTTATGCTCAGGAGGATTGTTTACTGGGGATGGAAAATTCAATAAATGAGGCATTTGAGCATAAAACCTCTGTAACAAATGCCAGAGTTATGCGAACCATTATTGCAAGTTATTTCCGGTGCAATGCTGTGGACAAGCTTGCAAACTTCATAAAGCGTGCTGAATCTGCTGGGTGGACAATCTGCCGGTCCTTATATCACTGTAAAATGGTTTTGTATGGAGCACAAAATCGCTTAGAAGAAATGGAGAGTGTCCTTAATGAGATGGAGAATTTCAACGTTAATCGCACTCAAAAGACATTGTGGATATTGTACCATGCCTATTCAACATGTGGTCAAAGACAAAAGGTCCAGCAAGTAATAGGATTGATGTGGAAGTTTGGATGTGAGGTTCCTTTGGATGCATTGCTGTCACAACATTCCAATTCATGCAGCAGCACTACAAGTTGCAGATAGCATTCAGTTGTCATTTTGAATGATTCATCAAATCTGTAAGATGGGATTGAGGTTGCAAATAGTTTATAGGTACTCCATCTTTTCTCTCGCTTGGTTTGTTTAATACCTTGTATAATGTTTTTGCTAGTTTGAAGCCTTTGGTACATAAACTCCCTGGTATTGCATAAGAGTGTATTAAATCACTGAATGGTCTAAAGTCACAGATAGTGTGGAGCACAGAGTTCAGCATTGATGGAAATATTTTTTTAAGATATTCAATTGTTTTGCATCAGTTCCTCAATGTGGAACTTGCCCATTGTATGATTTTGTGTGTCTAGACTACTGTTCAGGTACGATTCATCTCATTCATGCATATGGGGGTGAAACTATGATATTGCTGATGGAGTTTGACTTTTTAGAACAGGGATTATTAGAATTTAGATATTTATGAAAGGGATTCAAGGCTTTATATATAGGAAACCTGTTTGATGGTGAAAACTTGAAGAGTTGTGAAGCAACTAGTTGCCTTCAGTATTCCAGTAAATAACAACGTAAGTAGTAACTATTAAAATTCTAAGACAAAATAATTTGAGAAAAGCATGCAATAGGAGATGTGAAAACACTAGATAATCATGCCTTTTCAATAATAATCCAAATAACTGGATATTGCACTAATTTGACTTTAGTCATATGAGTAGGCTTGATTCATATTGTAATATGATTGTGATTCCTAAAATCAATAGAACTAGGTATCGTATCTGACTAGAGTTAACATAAAACCCTCTTCACCTTGCAGTAGCATCTACCAGTTAAAACAATCTTGTGGTACTAATTTGTCAAGTGTCTAAAACATATTAATTCATTACAAATCAGCCCAGTCAGGCTGCTGGTAATAAGAGTTATGAAATATTAGTCCTCTTGAAGAAGATACTAGTTGAAATTCTTTCTGAAAATCTAGAACGAATACAATTAGTTTGTAATTTCTGAGGGGAATGTTCTTGAATCTAAAGTTCTGTCTTTTCTTTGTTTTGGTTCTGTTGGTTGCATATGTGATGGATTGATCATTGATATTATTGCAGAAAGTTACAGACACTGTTGAATGGACCAAGACGACCTGTATACTGAATATTTACAGGAATTGGAATTAAATTCAGTAGCATGCTAGATGGTGTGCGTTTCTGCAGTAAAAGCAAGCTCATGTTCTGTATTTTGACTATATTGACTTGACTAATTTTAGTAGAAAGTTAGAACAGAGAATAGAGACAATTTTTGCTTATATTAAGGAAGTGATAGAAAGTCTGGGATTAAACTTTACAAGAGCTGTGTAATCTCTTGTCATCTGTCAGCAGCAAAAGCTTTACTCAAAGGGCTGAAGGTGAACCTTAAGTATGTTCTGATGGTAAAATCCTCTCAATTACTGAAGGTGTAAAATACTATATACAGGTAGTTGGATCTATTTTTTGTGATTCAGTTACAACAATTTGCTTCCGACGATGATAGGCTTATCAGAGTGACCTCACAAGCTGGAGTTCGGGTTTAAGCCTGCTGAGGAATAATTTACAAAAGTAAATTGTTATTGATGTTCAGAAGCAATTGTAATTCTGCGATGCTTCTGTCAAATAATGTGGTTGGAGTGGGAAAAGGTTATATTATTTTCTTAATAAGATCTTCTGTTTCTTTTGTGTCAGTTTGAACAATGATTCATATGATTCAGATTTCTCATTGCGTCTTTGTACAATGCTTGAGTCATTAACATTGACGGGGATTATTGATTCGCAAAAAATGACCTGTTTAATATAACTAATTTACTCATTCTTTGTTATTATAAAACAAAGTTGTGTCATTGTAATATATATTTGTTCAGCTAAGATATGCAACTTTTTGTTTCTTTTTTAGGAGCATATTACATAAACTGGCTTGCATTACTGAATAAATTATATTTCTTAGGTCACACGATTGATAATGTGGTTAATTTGTCATAATATCTCTATTGGAGCATAACATTAACTATTTGTAGAGTGTTATCTACGTTAATGTCTTGTTTTGGAGAAGGCAATAGAGCTTAATTAGAGGGAATTTTTGTTGGGAAACTGTAAATCATACTAGTTACTGTTATTCTGGTCCCCTGCTTCCTAAGTGACACCCATCAAACAAAAGTTAGAAATCACTTGAATCATGTCGGAAGCAGCAGAAAAAAGTAAATGTTATATATGGTATTGAATACTGAGATGATAGATTGAAGAGAGATGAAATATTAAATTTCTCTAATTTGTTAATTCCTGCAGTAGCATGTGGAAGTCTTTGCTTCTGTTTAAGGGGGGAGGATCAAGGATGAGTCCTGAATCAAAGCCGGTGATAGTGGTCTGGTCGGTGCTTTGAAGAATCTGGTCTTGTCTGGGTTGTTGGCATGTCAGTATCCCCAACCCTTCCACAAATACTTTGATTAAACAAACAAACAAAACAAACTTGTTAGTTTAAGCTTTGTCTTTCATTTTGGTTGCACTCTAAGCTTTGTGTTGTTATTTTTCTTAATTTTATTACAAAATTTGTATGAACTAAATCTGATTGATTACTATTATTCTTTTCTTTCATACTTAAGCTTTTTGGATTCTCTTATAATCTTGTTTTTCCCACGTGCCACTATGTCTATACACCCTTGTTTTTTTCTTGGCTTTAATTCATCAACTTTTTCAATGTTATCACTTCCCAAATCTTTTTCTTTCTTTGTATTTTCTCACGTTATATTAATGTTTAACATTTAGTCTCTTGAAGAACTTTCAAATTCCCAATAGTATCATATGCTCATTAGATTAGATTGTAATTTTTTCTACACTCTTAGGTCTTAGCATATCTTTTTGTTATTTTTTTAATGTAAATTTAAAAATGAAAAAAATTAAAAGTTTTTTTAATTGTTTTGAAAGTTGTGTTTANTACTAGGTCACACGATTGATAATGTGGTTAATTTGTCATAATATCTCTATTGGAGCATAACATTAACTATTTGTAGAGTGTTATCTACGTTAATGTCTTGTTTTGGAGAAGGCAATAGAGCTTAATTAGAGGGAATTTTTGTTGGGAAACTGTAAATCATACTAGTTACTGTTATTCGGGTCCCCTGCTTCCTAAGTGACACCCATGAAACAAAAGTTAGAAATCACTTGAATCATGTCGGAAGCAGCAGAAAAAAGTAAATGTTATATATGGTATTGAATACTGAGATGATAGATTGAAGAGAGACGAATTATTAAATTTCTCTAATTTGTTAATTCCTGCAGTAGCATGTGGGAGTTTTTGCTTCTGTTTAAGTGGGGAGGATCAAGGATGAGTCCTGAATCAAAGCCGGTGATAGTGGTCTGGTCGGTGCTTTGAAGAATCTGGTCTTGTCTGGGTTGTTGGCATGTCAGTATCCCCAACCCTTCCACAAATACTTTGATTAAACAAACAAACAAAACAAACTTGTTAGTTTAAGCTTTGTCTTTCATTTTGGTTGCACTCTAAGCTTTGTGTTGTTATTTTTTTTAATTTTATTACAAAATTTGTATGAACTAAATCTGATTGATTACTATTATTCTTTTCTTTCATACTTAAGCTTTTTGGATTCTCTTATAATCTTGTTTTTCCCACGTTCCACTATGTCTATACACCCTTGTTTTTTTCTTGGCTTTAATTCATCAACTTTTTCAATGTTATCACTTCCCAAATCTTTTTCTTTCTTTGTATTTTCTCACGTTATATTAATGTTTAACATTTAGTCTCTTGAAGAACTTTCAAATTCCCAATAGTATCATATGCTCATTAGATTAGATTGTAATTTTTTCTACACTCTTAGGTCTTAGCATATCTTTTTGTTATTTTTTTAATGTAAATTTAAAAATGAAAAAAATTAAAAGTTTTTTTAATTGTTTTGAAAGTTGTGTTTAAGGCTAATTTTATATTTACCTAACATTGTAGTAGTAGACTAATAGGTTATTTTCTCAATCAAGACAAAAATCATAGTGTGAACAAGAAAAAGCACAAAGCGGAAATGAGTAATTTAATGCATACTAATAAAGTAATAAGCAAACAAATTAAGAATTTTGTCGATAATCTTTGATTTAACAATGACAGGAGGTTGTCTTATTAAAGAGAACATAATTGACAAAGTAAAACAGGTAATTAATTTGATAATGTAAACGAAAAAAAAAAAAAAAAATGAAAACCCAAGTGAATATGTATATAATTATATATAATTGTTGATTGACAGCAAACTAAAAACAAAGCATCTCATTCAAACCAAACAAAATACAAAGGCCTAAAAAGTCAATTAAAGACAGGGTTCCATGTCTTTGTCAAAGCTTAGCTGTTTCTACCACTTAATAAAAATATTACAATTGGTTTCTTGTAGAATTTCCAAGTGGTCCTGGACCTGGTGGTGCTGGTATTTAGAATACTTCCAAAATTCTCAACCACTTTGCTAGATGAATGGAATTGGGTTTTCCTATCTTCACTTCCTGCTTTTGATATTATCCCTAACTCCAAATAATAATGATATGACTTGAATTAATCAAAGAGATGTCGAAATCCATGATTTAGACTTGTATCCAATCATCATTTTTCTCTTCTCCTTTTGGTCAATGGGATTTGGTTTTCCCTTTGGGACACAATGCAATGGTCCGCCATGCCACACCACTTCCATTCTCTTTTCTGGATTTTCTGTAAACTAAACAATACTTCAGTTTTAAAGGCTCATTTTGGTTTTGGCTTTATGAAGCAATATTTTCGTCTATATCCTCAACCAATTTAACTGCTCCTCTACCCAGGAATTAACTTGCCTTGGCAGTATAATGCCACCAGTACCACCAATTAATTTAAACATTTTCACTGGCCTGAAGCAAAAACAATGGCAACATTCTGCAGATTCCTTAAGAGCAAAAACTACATCATCTTCACCACTTACCAGGCTAGGATTTTCGGAAAAAAAGGGAAGGACAACAGAACAGAAAAACAATGGCCCTGCTAGAAAAGTTAAACAATTGATACTACAAACAATTTTCTTTATATAATTCCATAACACAAGTATAACATACAAATCCATAACAAGATGGACATATTTTTCCAGTTCATGTTTTGAAATTAGTGCTTACAATTACCAACAATACTATAACCAATTGATTAACCACCAAATAGTACCCCACACTTTCTCTGTCCCCGTTATTGGTGGCCGGAAGTTAAAAAGGGTAAGCTGTATCTCCTGGTGGTTCAGCCAAATCAAATGAACAAATTCTGATCCACTGAAACTGGTAGTTCCTGGATAGATTTCCTTTCCCCACCTAAATGACAGACCATAAGCCCTCTTCTCCACAACAAGAACAACCAGTCGCCTAAGATGCAGAACTCTTATACCTCCACCACAAATGGTAACACGGTAAGAAGTAATAATACAACACAATCTTATAACTACACAACGTCACTGCAAAAGGATAAAAAAACCCGAGTGAAATGTCAAACTTCTGTTATGTAAGGTTGCCTGTAGTTAAGGTTAAGAAGAGTATTAACAGTTAGGATTCACAAACTTCTTTATCTCCTCCATGAGGCAATAAAAGTGATCGTTATTCGGCAAGAAGTAGAACCCAATAGTGGCCTCTTTCAGAAAAAGGAGATTCACTTCATGACCAGCTTTCTTTAGCCCTTTAACATAAGCCAATTGCCAGTCTTGAACAAGATCCAAACCAGCCACAACAACGAGACTTTTGGGAAACTTAATGCTTTCAAGGCTTTTACCTCGAGGGCCAAATGGGTTACATGCCGGATGATCCCTATCTTCTCCCTCAGGAAGATACGCCCTCCAATACCAATTGCGGTCTTGTATTGTAACAAAGTATTTGCCATCCAATCTGTTCTCTGATTCGGTTCTCTTTTCTCCACCAAACATTGGGTGAAGTAGAATATTCCCCAGTACTTCAATCTTGGGTTCAGTTTCTGCTTCAGCTTCGGCTGCCCTAACCGCAACATGGTGAGCTATATTACCGCCTGAACTATCTCCAGCCAAATAAACATAAACTTTCGAATCTTTTCCACTTCGAAGCCAATTTCTTGATGTAACCCACTTAAGAGCAGTCCAACCATCATCATATGCACAAGGATATCTATACTCTGGTGATCTACGATAATTTACAGAGACCACTACAGCTTTGCAAATGCTAACAAGGCGACGGCAGAAAGTGTCATAAATAGCACTATTGGCAGAAGAATGTGTAAAACTTCCACCATGGAAGAAGACAATAACAGGCACAATCTCGGTGGTGCTCAAGGGCTTTTCTAGCTCCACAATGCCCCACTGAGCTTCATTCTTTGGGGCAGGTTGATAAACTCTATTAAGCAGACCAGTAGTTCGATCCACATGATCAAATGAGTAAACTCCATCCACAGGAATGATGTTGGCTGCGACTTTACGGTCAAGAAACTCCGCCAGATCCCGGTTAAAGGTTCCGTCAGGTCGTCTAAGGAGATTGTAAGCTAGTTTGAAATTGGAAATGAGAACCCATGTATTAAGTGGAACAACCCTCTACAAAAGAAGATGAAAAGAGAGACGGAATTAGAAGTTTTGCACTCTATTTTACAAAGCTTTAGCACTATATAAATATTAAGAACAAGATAGATCACATACATTAAATCTCATGAGAATGATGAAAACATATTTCAATCTAAGAAAGAAGGCTAACCAAACCCAGAGAACAACAAGAGAATTGTTGGATAAAGAATTACAAACAGCCAATGAAAAGGGTATAAAAAGCGTGGGCCTAAATACAAATCACATTATAGAAAAATTTATAACTTTTACACAAATTCATGTATGGAAATGGACTTTCCAACACAATAAAGTCACATCTCAATAAGCTAAAACCCAAAAAAAAAAAAATCTAATTCATCGTGATTCATTAAAACATTAAAATAAAAATAAAAAAAACGAAAAGATAACAGAAATTTAAAGAATTATAGTGGTAAAAACAGAGCGAAATTCTTCGAATCCTACAAAAAAACTCGCATACAAATCAAATCAAACCCACATAAACTTGAGCTTTCTATGTATAAGTTTAACAAGATGAAACAAACCCATCAAATCAAATCAACATTTTAGCTTCCAATGAAATGAAGAAGAAGAAGAAGATGGGAGAGAATGATAAGCAAAGAGAAAGAAAACACCTTAGACTCATGAAGGTTGACTTCATTACTACCAGCCATAGCTGAAAAACAATAAGCAAAAAAAGCCAAGAGCTAACAGAGCCCTTGCAAGAACTCACAAATGAATGTGATCTTCAAAGAAGCACCACCGTCATAATAATTGAACAGGAGTTGTAAGCAAGAAAACCTTCCCCTCTCTCTCTCCTTTCTTTTTTGTACTTTGAAATGGTTTATATGGATTGATTCCTCGTTAAGAGTTCTGAACAAGAAAAGACACTTGTTTCACGAGGAAATTAAAAAAAAAAAAAACAAAAAAAAAAAGGGGGGGGGGGATAAAAGAGACACAAGGAAAGAAGAAAGAAAGAGAGAGAGATTTATGAAGCTATCTACGTTACACAGATATAGATAGAGAAAGTACAGTCCAAATAAATAAATTAAAAGCGGGAGAGAGAGAGTCAAAGAGAAATGAAAGAAGAACGACGGAGAAGAACGGAGACGAAAGAGACGACAAAGCAGGCGGCCGAATTAAACTGTTTATGGTGGGACCTACCCGTTTCGTTTTTTTATATTAACTAACCTTTGCTTTTTTTTTTTTAACTATTTTTGTGTGTTTCTCCCCATCTCCTAAGTCCAAACTCTATTTATTTCTATGCTTTGCTCACTTTTAATGAAATTTGTTTTTTTCTTCTTTTTTTTTTTTTAATTAATAACATTATTATGTCTCATTAAATCTAAACTTTGTCTTCTTTATCACCATTTTATCCCTTTTGTATTTCATATTATTATCTCGTTAACTTATATTATCTTGTAAATTATATTCCTGTTTATTTCGAATATTTATAACATAGGTAAAAGATTTTTTTAAATATGTTCCACAAGCAAATTTCAATTTCAATTTATTTTTTTCAATAACGATAAACTTTAACATTTTCAAGAAAAAAAAAGTTTGACTTGGACGAACAAAATAAAGTATTGTATATTAATGTAAACAGTAGTGGAAGTAGCCAAAAGCAGGTTCTGGCAATAGCTGTAGTGATTAGAAATTTGTCTCTAAAAACAAATAAAAAGAAGCAGACAGAGTTTTCCTGCGTGCGGCCGACGCCAAGGCACGTGGCGACAAAGGGCTCCGTCTCGACTCTTTTGCCAAACCCATTCTTCTCTATTTCCCAAAATACCCTCATTCCCTACCAGACCACCAAACTGCCACTCAGCAGGACACGTGTTTTGTCCGCTAGCGGAAAGCGCGTGACGGCATGTTTTTTGTCAGAGCCTGGAGAGCAGGAGAAGAAAAGAGAGAGAGAAGAGGCTTCAGCTTCCCTTTTTTATTTTTTCTTTTTTTTGTTTTATTTCATTTTTTTTCAACTGGGCTCCACCTAAAGTGGGCTTTTGATTTTGTCGTATTCTATGGAGCGTGTATATCCAATGAATGGTGAATACGGACACGTGTCTCTCTCAGAGTGCACACATTATGTGATGGGTCCTACATTCACACACTTCCCTCAAAAGTCTTATTCTCAAAACAAATTGATACGATGATTAACACTCTTTTTGTGGGACCATCTTTTTGGCCTCTCTAACACTTTACAATTGACACGTGTTATATTCAGCTTGCTTTGGGGAGTGATTGATTAGATTTTTCTGTTTACATATCAAGTATCGGCCAATGGTGGATCATCCAACCGTTAATTTGTTTGACGAAAAAGATTCGTGGCATCATGAGAATACCTATAAATGAAGTGGTAGGCTACTTTACCGTGGAGATAACCTCAAGGGTCAGTAAGATGGTTAAGAAATTTTGGGACGTTCGTTTTATTATTCCCGATCATATTCTTAATCCTATTCCCAAAATACATCGCTTCGTTTGGTTCATGATTGAAAATACTACTCTTAATATTTCTAAAAAAGTTAAACAGTAAAATACCCAAAAACTCTTATTTTTTAGAATACTATTTTCAATATTATTCAATTTTTTTAAAACCTTCTAAATTTGTTAATTTAATTAAATACCCCTAAATATTTTTTTAAAAATTATAAAAACACCCCAACAATCCACATTTACCAGATTCCGGCCACCACCGTCGGAAAATAGCCTGAATCTGGTAGGATGGCGCACTACCGGCTGAATTTGGCCGGTAGTGCACCGTGGATCTAGTCGGAAAAGGCCAGATCTAAGGCCAAAGATCTGGCCGTTCTTTGGCCGTAACACTCGGTCATGACGGCCAACAAACGGTCGTCGTTGACCATCAACGACGACCGTTTGTTGGCCGTTATTGGGAGCAAATACGGCCAGATCTGGCCGAAAAATGTCATATCGGCGCATGACCAGCAAGATCCAACCGGTCATGCGCCCATAAGGCGACTCCGGCCACCTCCGATGGTGGTGGCTGGCTGGGGGTGTTTGACGGTGGGTTAGAGGTGTTTTTGTTAACTTTTAATGTTTTATTATAGGGGGTATTTTGTAAAAAAATAAACATAAAGGGCATTTTATTAATTTATAAATTTTACATCGTAATACCCGCCCAATTCAACTTTTTTTTAACTTTTTTCAAAAAACTTTTCCCAAAACCCCTAAATTTTGAACCAAACGAAGCCCATGTTTGTTTAATTATTTGAGAAATACTATTCTAATTTTTTTAATTACTTTTAGATTCTTTAAGTTTATTAATTTAATTAAAATTTAAAAATTAACAAAAACACCCCCACCCACCCATAATTGTCAAATTCCGGTAATCACTGTCGGCAATTACCGAAATATGTTACAACCGGGTAAAAACGACCGAAATTGACCGATAATTCACCGATCTGGTCTTTTTCGGTCAGATTTATAATGGATCTGGCTGGAAAATGCCAGATCTGGTCGTCGCTGATGGCCAAATCTGGCCTTTTACGTCCGTCAACGGCCAGATCTGGCATTTTCTGGCCAAATCCGTGGTGAATCTGGTCGAAAAAAGTCATATCAACGCATGACTGGTCAAATCCAACCAGTCTGCATCGTAACGCTATTTTCTGGCCAGATTCCTGTGGCACTATGGGTGAGTGGGGGTGTTTTTGTCATTTTACAAAAAAATTATATATTAAGGTGTTCAGTTAAATTAGCAAACCTCTGGGGTTTTTTTTGTTAATTTTTAAATTTTACCTCGTAATACTCACTCTATTCAACTACCCAATATTATTCCCAAAATCTTATCCAAAATAACAAACTAAACGCACCATTTGTTTCCTTCATTGTTTTTTTTTTTTTTTAAAATATCTTAAGATTATCTATCATATTTGTAATTTATCTGAAATATTGAGACCATAGGATGTTAATGGGTCTTGAGAATTAATTAAAGTATACGTAAATTGATTCGGATGTCTCGGTTATTAAAAAAAAAAAAAAAAACTTTATTGAGGAGTTAGGGATAATGAGAGCCGTTGATATTTACTATGATTAGAAAAGTGATAGAAATATAGAATTGGTAAGAAAATTTATGAAAGAGAGACAAGTATGTAATAGGAATAATAAAGGTCAAAATTGTAATTGGGTATGAAGAGAGGGTGGGGATTGGAAGGATGTGGCAAAAGCATGTGGCACACACGTCCCATACCAAACATATTGCCGTGTTGCTTTGCACCTTCTCTTTTTCTCCGCTTGCTTTATACTACTTTTCTTTTCTTATCTTTAAATGTGTCTTTCTCTGTTATTGCAATTACAAAATTTATTTGCCTAATTTAACGTGCGGCCCACTTTTGGGTTTTGGCTTTTTGTGAGTTAGGTCAACAACTAGGAACAGCTTTTGGCTTCTTGTGCCACTTGGGTCAATCCAACCATTACAGGAAACACACCCTTTGATATTTCTCGTCGGCTTCTACAACCCTAGAATTTTCAACCATACATTTTCTTCTTCAGCTTGGGTTTTGGCTCCCTCCTTTGGACTTTGTTCTAAACATGGTATTTTTGTCTACTTTCATACACCATCATTTTTGTTCTTCTTCTCCTATTGTGTCAAGGAAGTTTTTTTCATTTATTGAGTTTCTAGATTCAATTTCTTTTTGCGTAACTTTAACGAATAAAAAATGACTAAAAAATAAAATGTTTTTACCTCCACCAGATGGGTATGAAAGACTAATAATGTACATTGAATGTGAGGATGATTATGTTGTGTCATAAGTAAAACAAACAAAATTCCACCAAACTCTTTTATCTTTGAGAAAAGAATAATCATCAGTCACATCAGCAAGCATGAATGATGCGTTGCTTATTAAAATTTTTATTTATTTATTTATTTTTTTTTTTTGACAAATGGTTTGAATTGGTCAAGCTTTTCGTTCATAAACATTTTTTTTTACTTTTCTTGTCTGCAGTTGGGAATATACATTGTTTTTGTCCTTTTGCGTGTCAAAAGTGGTATTGAAGATTAGGCCAAATCTTATCGTGTATCGGTATGGTTTGATTGTGGTCAATTTGTTGTAATTATCAATATTCAATCATACCTCAAAATGGTCGATGAGAAAGCAATGTTCATGTTTGGCTTTTTTTGAACCGCACATTGTTTGATTTTCCACCTTCAGTTCATTCTAACAAATATGCCAACGCCAAGTGGAAATCACCCATATAGGGATAAACATGAATATGGGTTGAATTATGAAACCTAATATGTGTACCTTTATCTAATTTTGGTATCCATAGCTCTAAAGTCAATGTTACAATATCCCAAAATTTAAATGTCATAAGTTGTGGAAGAAGTTATTAAATCCAATAATTTGATAAACTGAACATGTGGTAGTTAGAAAATTAGGAAAAATATAGCAAAGTAATGGAATCAAACTATAAATTGATTGGATAAGCACTTTTGAATTGAAATCCCATCAGAACTCAAACTCCTATCCCAAGATAATTAATAAAATTGAGTTTGAGTGTTAAATGGATAATGGATTGAGTCAGAGTGCATGTTATCAACTTGTCGTAGAAATGAGAATTAGAGTGATGACAGCGATGACGAAATGATGAATGGATGGGTACATTATGTGGTTCCCTCTGGCGATAGCAAATGCAATCCTCGCTTTTGGTTTTACTAAATGTCTGCCCACATCCATGCCAACCCAATCTTTTTAACTATTACAATACATTGTCACCAACTAAATACATCAATTTACCATCAACAAAAAAATTCTCCATTTTTGTTCTTGTTTTTTTTAAACATAATCCAACCACAAGCTCAACGTTCTTGTTTCAATCCCTTTCGGACAAACATTATAAGCTTCTAATTCTTTTAAATAATTCATTAATATATGTATATACATATTTTTATACAATAGTATTTATGTGATAAATGATATGATACTACTGCATAAAATAACACATTGATTGAA